CCGACTCTAGTTTTGTTGGACCGTTTGAATTTGAAATGAAATTAAAGTGAATTGAAAAAAAAAGTTATGACAAACTGAGTTATTATTTTTATTTATGGTCTATATACATTAATAAATAGTTATTTTCCATTTTATTGACATATTAATAAATATATATAAGCGAGGGAATGCATGTGATATTTCCCATTCGTGATTAAACTGATTCATTTAGTTACTTCATTTACTTACAAATCTCACCGCTAAATTTAGATCAACAGCAATAGCAGCAAGAACTCCCAAAATTGATGCCATTCTTAGGAAGCGAGCAGGAAAAGTTGGAGTGAAAGATGATTTATTTCAGACATTTGTGCTGTGTTGTTGTGTGTGTGAGACTTATCTCACTTGTCTGACAGTAACATCAGAACAAGCCCGCGATATTCATCGTGGCAAGGAGAGCAAGATTGCGCCAGTCGTTGGCAATACCCTTGAGCACAATACAGATGACACTACGACCTCGCTCAATTCCGCCCTCCCCAATTTTTAAGGAGAGCATCACGGGGGCGACGGGTCCGATGATCTCCCAACCCTTCCTTATACCACCAACCTCTCGAAAGGACTTTTGGCTCGCCGCGCATTTAGAGTGCCCCCATGCCTCACACATTTACAAACTTCCATGCCCTCTCCGGGATTCGAACCTGGGCCCTTTGGTATCCGAATAGACTTCCCTAGTCACTATACAGTTTGGGCGGCCTTCAGATATTTGTTTGATGTAATTAAACAGAAGAGAGCGACTATTATATAAGGTAATTATATTTTCAGTCGATTACTTGAAAGATACTAAAAGTAATGTTTGAGTCAAAATAGGGACAATAAAAAAAATGTTTTTTATCATCTTTCAATATTGTAAATGAAAAGTATGCTAAAATTAAATAAATAAATCGATATTTCTTGTAAAATACTGTATATTAACATGAATATTTCCTCGAATCTATGTAATGGAAAACAGTGGTTGTGATAAACTTTAAAAATAGTTCATAGCGCGTTATAATTTTGGGAAACTTTCGACGAATTCATAAAACAGCGAGAAAAATAATTTATCACGTTCGCTTGGTTACGGTATATTCGACTGTCGTTCAAAGCCTTTTCTGCTTTTGAGTTTATTTCTGAAGATTCAGAATCACTCATACGGAAATGGACTTATCAACTGCCGCTTAAGTGTAGAAATACAATAATTAAAAATGATAGATTTTAGAATGAACAATGCGTTATAGACAAGAATAAGATTAAAAATACTTCATTATTTTTATGCACAGTTTGTGAAACTAGTTAAGGTAAGGTCCAGAGTTGTTTCATTCCGGACATGAGAAACAATATTTATTTCTTGTTCATGTTTTGCATACTCAAATGCTTAGATTTTGTTGAAAATCTGACATTCTTCTTCCATTTCATATTTTACTATTGCTGTATGCTTTGGGAAGAATTTCCTGTTGATATTGCATACTTCTTTTGTACATCTGAGACTGCTGTTGTAATAATTTACTTTAGAAACTACATTGCTGGTCAATTTTTATTTTTTAAAATTCGTTCAACTGTAATTTTTAGAACTTATTTGAAAAGAACAGAATAAAAAAGATACTTAAAAATACAGTGAAAAACAATTGCAATTGAACACTTTTACATTTCTAGGTTAACAACTGAATTTAAAATGCTCCAACGCTTTTGTGAAACATCACATTTTCACTATCTATCATTTCTGTGGATATCCAGCAATAATATGCAAAATTTGTAATATAATGTAACGATAATTAACGAACGGGTAAATGTGGTACTTGCTACAAAATTAAATGGATTATAAAGTTTCCTTTGAGAGAAAAAAATCTAAAATCAAAATTCTGGAAGGGGGATAATAACTTATAAAAAATCTTTAAAAAATACAGGTACTGGATTTAATTTGCATCTTAGCGGCAAAATTCAAAATAACTTCACGTCAAAGGAAATATGCTTCTCATGCATTTTTTTTAACCTAAAGAGGCAATTTCCCTAGAAGGACTATTAATTTCGTTTTGGCATTTTGCATTGATTCACTATAAACGGCGAATTACTTTTTAAATTGTTGCCACCAAATATTAGAGCCCTGTATTATGTTTAAAGAAATTAAATACTGAAGAATCTGCATAAATGTATGCATGTTCCTCGCATTGTGATAAAACAACGGTACCTAAAGCCATCAAATTCTGAATAATGTACGTCTCCACCAGAATTTAGGCATTTAGAAGCCCAAATTTGGAAATTGGAATTTGTTCTGTTATCTATTTCATATTTTTTAAAGTATTTATGAGTTTTTGATTAAGAAACTCGACAATTTCAAAGCGAGCTATGGCAACAATGGACGGAAAAAAAAATTGTTTATCTCCAGCGCGAGACTGTGTATCGGAAATTCTAAAGATAAACTCTTTTAAACATTTTGTGATATTGCTGTTGAATTGAATTTTATGGTTTAAGGGCGAAGACCATGATATCTAATAAAGAAAGGTAACACACACACACCACACACACACACAAAAAAAAAAAAAAAAAAAAAAAAAAAGGCATTTTGGGTTTAATGTAAAATCTGAAAACTTTCAATTTTTTTCCATTTTTTTTTAAAGTTCTTATTTTATTTATTTATTCAGGTTGAAAAACATATAGCTGAGTGTACTCATTTGCTCATTTGGCTCATCAGTGACCGAGCGGTAAAGTAGCTAAATACTAGTAGTTCGACAATCCTAGCGAACGGCCTGGCTGCATAGGAGTTCCCGTGGTTTTCTCCATGTACAGAGTAGATACAAGCCGATTTCTCTTAAAGCCCTTAACGAAAGCATCCCTTCTCATGGGCAGAGAGCCCTAGAGTAGCTTTGCCTTAATCAATTAATCGTTAAGTATTTACGCATGCTGGAGATGATCAGGTTTCGAGAAGATTATACAACTACGTAGTGGCCCTTGGATATACCAGTAAATCGCGAAACATAGCGTGTTCCTTTCATACAGATGTAAATTTTTCTAACATGTTATCTCGGAGATTCAGCTTGTTTTAGAGCCAAAGTCTGCGCAGTTTAACATGTTTTTGACAAAGAATCTCAAAAAAATCATTCTCATATCCGAATGCATAGTCTTCTGTTAAGACCAATTCTTCATAAAGCAAATTCCGAATACATGATGAGACGCTCCTAATCTTTGTATGTGTGCGTGTCTCTGAAACTCGAATTTGCTCTCATGTACAGTGAAAACGTCTTGACGTTGCATTTTTGGAGCTACAGTAATTCAAAATGGTTTGCTTTGTATGCATCACATGGTGCGTTATCGTACTATGCATTCTGAAAAACACCATGTCGTTAAGAATATAAACACATAGTAGAAATGACGCGCATTTTACAAATGGGAACAAGCACTTTTTAGTACCTTTCAATTAAATGTGCGAGCTTGGGATGGGCTATTCTCTAGCCAACTAATTCAAAGAACCAATTCATTTTACTGAGGGAATAAATGGAGATTCTGAAAAACAGAGCGATAGCTCCTTTAGAGTTCATTCAATGACAGCTATTGTTGGAAGCGTGCCAGAAAAGTTCGATTACCATTTTAGGAGAGAAAGGGATGTTTCTCCTACCATGTTAAAAGTGAATTTAATTTTCATTATTTCTCAACAATTTTAATGTAGTTTTATCCCGGAACTGCATTTTTAATTATGTGTAGAACGGAGGTTTTAGGGTATCTTCAAAACTACAACTAAAAAAAATCAGTCCAGAGAATTAGCAGTTTAATTGAGTCAATTCCCCCCGATCCCATTGCTCGTTCATTTACCCCTCCCCGCTTTTCGTTTCCATCTTCGCACGCCACTCTTGATTAACTCCTTATTCCCAGTCTTAGTCATCAAATGTATTGATGATGAGTCGGAAAAAGAACTGATTCATTTCAATGAGCGAACGGTTTTGGTCTGATCCCTCAATAATCTGTTTCTGTAAAATTGTCTCTTGAAAGCAATCTAGCAGCAATCTTTATTTGCTATCGTAATGCGTGTCGTCATGACCGCACAGTCGTTATTTTCTCCACTTTATAGGCCCACCAGCGACCGAAAGGTAAAGCCGCTGAACATTGGTAGTTCAGTCCGAGTTTGAATCCCGGCGAACGTGCTGACTATATGGACGTTTTCATAGTTTTCCCCATGTGTCACGTGTATATGACCCAGCTTCTCTTAGAACGTCCTCCAAGGAGGCATCCTCCCCTTAGGCAGATAGCCCTTAAATGCTTTCCCATTATCAAGCAAACCAAACCAATTATTTGAGACTGTTCAAATCAGGCTTCATTCGCGCGCCTTTCATAAAGCGAAAGAAAAAAAGGCGACTGGAACTATCTGCTGCATCTGTCGTACGTATGGTTACAATGCAATACGGGCGGCGGAAAATGCACCATCAGAGCACTTCAACAGGAAAAAGCCCACTGAGGGTTAATTTCACAAGAGTTCAAGCAACTCAAAAAATGAAATAATTCTGTTCTGAATTATTACAAAAGAACACAGCTGGAAAATTAATGCCGGGAAAACATAATAATGACGCTTTACTGTCTGACCGTCGTTAGTTGCACCATCAGCACAAAGATATATGTGCATTTGGGACCGACTTATTTATGAAAGAATGTAGATGGCTTTTTTTTTTTTTTTATGATTTTATTTTCTTTTATGAAATTGCAAATTAACAGCTGGAAAATAAATTATTATTTGATAAAAGTGCTATCACAGCAGATATTGCACACAGCATTAAAGAAACTTGAAAGGGCATTTTTGAATCCTATCGGATGCGTAATTTTAATGCCTTCATTCAATGAGGATCCCCCCATGGCACAGGCTCTTTTCCCTCCTTCGATATTAATTTCCGGCTCTACGGAGAAGAGAAAACTCATGCGACCCTCTCACCCTACGGCACGTAAATTCACACTCATTCTGGACGATCCTATATGTTTTGGCAAAATGCCAGCCAAGGCTGTGACGGTGCAACTATAACCCGAAACTGTTCTTTCTACTCATGTGAACTCGGGATAGAGGCTTCTGTGCCATTTACGCAAGTCGAAAATACTTCGAAGTTACTTGCTGTCATCACAAGCCATATGACTTTATTGTGAAACTTCGTCGAGCAAATATAATGCCTTCTAAACGAGATGTGAAAAGAACCAACAAGAACAGGAGATCAGACTAGAGAACCATTGTATCCGTAACCGTTAAGATATTTGGAATTCCGATATTTTCGCGATAAGTGACTCATGCTGAATAAATTCCAAGGAGATTCTTTGATAAATTCTGACAGACAAGCACGATCGGTGAGTGTTCGCGGTGACTTTTTCTCTTTTCTGTAGGAAATCATGATTTGCCATTATCAGAGGATTTCCAATTCATTATTCAGTATTTAAGAATATATTTAATTAATAAATTGTTTCCATTTGTGTATGGACGATTAGATTCGCATCTTGCATGTTTTGAATTTGTAGCCACAACATTAAATCAAGTGTCTTCACTTGAAAAACAAAATTCGTTCTTTTATTAAAAGAATTACAAGTAGAATATTTCCAGTAGATTTTCCTTCATAACATAAAGTTTAAATTGTTGTCTAGTTTCAATAATTATTCAGCTTTAAAATAATTGTACATCGTGAAAATTAAACGCAAATTATAATAAAATCCCTATGTGTATGAATCGCACGTATCGTATTCAAAGACGCAAATGTGTTTCTCATTCTGTAAAAATGGAAGCATATTTTGTGTGCAACTTTATATGAAAAGTGTCCTGTTTTAATTTTTGTATTTCATTATTTGTTTGGTGTTGTCTTATGCATACATTGCGGGTGTAATAATAATTAGAATGTTTTTTTTTTTTTTTTTTTCGTTTTTAAAATTCTGTATTTGAATGCTTTGGTAGTTTTTATTATTTTTTTTTGAATCTATGTTTTACATTTCTGAAATCTGTAGGCCATTTTTATTCATGTTAGTTACTGTAGGTATTTGAAATGCTATGTGCATATGTATGTAATTTTAGATGATTATTCATATTCTAATTGTATTAATTAGTATTCATATTCTTATTGACATAGTATGTTGGGTAATTTTTAAATACATTCCATTTCCATTACAGAAAATTCGGCTCTAGTGTAGAATTGGGTGCTCCTTCGATTAGCGACAAATTATTTTTTTAATTTTGGCGATAAAACCTCATTTCTGGTTACCATGATGATTTTAATTTTGTTTTAGCTTCCTGGGTTTTTTTAAATGAAAGTAGATTGATGTGTACATGGACAAATTTAAGACAGTGCGCAATGCCAAGTTTGTGCAATTCTGGGATTTTTTTTAAGTGAAAACAGATCGATGTGTACATGGACACAGAATTTCTGCAATTCCTTGACTTCTTATTTTGGTTTTGTGTAGCAGCCATATTAAAATTGTACCTTCCTGGCACCAATCTTGGCGTCAAAAAAGAATCGCCAAAAACAAAGGACACCCAATTGTAAACTTTTACCGAAAATTCATTTGATATTTAGACCATAATACGTTTCCATTGTGAACCTGCCATGCATTTTACCGTACTGTTGTAATAATATGTGTGCGTATGTGTTTTATTATTCTTGTTTAAACATACACACAGGGCCTATACGTAACCTCCAGATGTTACTGTTGTTGGGTCTGGGGTGTGTGCTTGGTTTTTCTTTCACAAGCACCAAAAATCATGGTAGGTGCGTAACTGAAACGTATCTAGACCAAGGGTATCTAGACCGGTGGTACGCAAAGAAGCAAAGTATTTTTAACTGTTAAATTCAAAAATTAAAACCCCAATATCCTGATTGAGTTTTTTAACACTCATAAATTTATGCGATCTGTTCCAAGATGGTGGTGGTAGTGGTACTTTATAGTGGTGGTACTAAAGGTTTTCAATTTTTGTTTAGATGGTACTCGTTAATCAAAAGGTTGAGAACTGCTGATCTAGACCATTAGTTCAATTCCAGTGAATGGTTCAGTAATTATAATTTGTATTTATTAAGTATTTCTCTTAAGGATCAAATGAAGAAAAAGACAAAAATAAATAAAGGAAGAATGTAATGTATATATATATATATAAAATTTGAGGGAAAGGGAAAGTGTGACTTTTCTGCATATTGGAAAAAATGCAATTGTGACGATTTTGTGTATTGTTTTTTAGTTTGTATTATTTTGTGTGTGAGTGTGCGTGTACGTCTTTTTATTAAACATTAAAAATCCCACTTCATGAGTGCAAGCATAACTATTGCTGATGTCTTTTCATTCAGTGTGTGATTGGTGTTAGGAAGCCTTTTACAGAATTTTCTGAGAACGTTCTGTGAACATACATCTGGAATTTTTATTTACAGTGTCGCTGCTAAAGCTGGTTAAATGTATCCCTTCACACATGCCAAGATCCTATCAGCAAGTTTATGCTTTTAAGTTATTTTCTGTTGTTTTATTATTTAAATATAGACATAATAGATTACTTTTAGTTGTAACTAAATAATTGGCTATTTATCTTCATCACTTATATAAAATTTGGTACTTGCATATAATTATGTCGATTGTAAAAATTGGCTACCATCAAACCATGAAAGTTGGTGGAGATCTTGACAAATTTGCACCAGTTGTTCCTGTGGAATTCTTGAGGAAATTATGACTGTGTATTTAGTAAACAATCAGTATTCAAATTTCGGTTCTGCACTTTGTAAAAGAGCTTTCTTTGATTTCCGCTGTTTTATTAGGCCCTCCAAGTTTACTGGATGCTTTGTGTAGAATGTAATGAGTACAAACTTCTGGAAATTATTTCAATCTACAGTCAAAAGTCGTTAATCCGGACTCGTCGGGACTTTGGCGATTCCGGATTATCGATTTTTCCGGATTATAGATCATCAGTTTAAATCTCGTAAGATGGCATGCAGAAATTTAAAAATTAAAAATATGAAACCGTATAATTTGTGAAATAAAGAACAATTATGAATCTAAAGGTATCAAAATTTGCAAAAAGAAAAAAGCTTAATATTATTTGTTTACTTTATTAAACATTTCTTTTAATGTAAGTTGTTTAAGTTTTGCTTCGTTTCATGTGATAATACTTTCTCTTTAATTCTATTAAACAGACATAATTTCTTGTTCAGTTACAAAGTTCCACTGTTCAAGTCCTATAATTGCTGTGTCGAGAACACCGACTAATTTGTCAATCGAAATTTTTTCGTTTTCAATAACCTCTGTCACTTTCTTTGCTATTGGAAGCGAATTATAATGACGAGGAACTTGTTTTAAATCATATCAAAGACGGAGCATATCGAGATGAAATACTACATTTGGTAAGGAATTATAAGCCAAATAAAATAAAAACATCTGTGCTGAAGATAAGGATAGTGCTGACAGATCAACTTCCAATTCATTACGCGCCCGCCGTGGCGTTCCCCCCTCCGAGCAGCGTGAAATTGATAAACAGATTTCGGGTTTCAAAACATACTTTCGCTTTAGATCCTTTACATATTAACAAATATATATTGGAAATTCTATTTGATATAATCGAAAGTTTAAGCTTACTTTTATAAAATTGCTCTTACTGTCTGCAAAAAATAATAAGCCGGATCCAATTCGAAAATTAAGGAACAACGCAATCATCAACATTAACTGAAATAGATAATTAGATAATTTTAGCTTATACGTCCATTATACATAAAATGCACGCATGCAGAAAACGTATTCTGCACTTGCGCACACTCATATGCGCGCAGTCAGTCGTAAAAGGTCTTACGCGCACGCGTAAACGCCTATGCGCATGTGTCAACGCGGCGCATGCGCAGAAAGTTTTTAGTTTTGAGGTCCGGATTATAGATCATTCCGAATTATGGGTGTCCGAATTAACGACTTTTGACTGTATTACTGTTTTGGGTTAGTCTATATTTTAGGGTGCTTCTTGGGTAAATGCCAAGTTGTAGTTTCATTTATGGTAACCTGAGTAGTTGAATGTAATGGAAACCCTATTATGACGTGATTGTGGTGAGTTTGACTGATGGGAAAATATTTGTAAATGCTTATTTCTGTGTTGGATGTGGGTTATGACGTGCGTCACGTATTTTGTACATTACATTGTAAAGTGGCTGCTGGGTGTTTGGTTGTATAGAATAAGAGAACGGTAGGTTGAGTGATTGAGGACAGAAGAAAAGTAACTTTGTTGGATGTAATCCAATGGAATATTTTACCTGGAATTAATGATCGTATCCAACAACGGTGATTTTGATAATGGCTTTGTTCACTGTAAATCGCTGACATTTAAGGATCCATAAACCGGAGCTGATATTAACACAGTTGAAGGTATGTGAAGTGTAATAAAAAGTGATTTTTGGAAGAAATGCCTCTAACAGTCCGGCACTGCAGAGGATATTTTTTACTCTTATTTTTGTGAATTTATGTGGTGATGACAGTATGCATATTCTAATTCAGATAATTTTAGAAAATTTTTGGATGCTGTTAAGAAATTTTGTCTGCCACAGGCTGAAGACACAGAAATTTCTAAATAAGGTAAGTCGATATTTCCTTTTTGTAGTATGTATATGAGATAATATGTATTTCCCTTTTTATTTTATTTCATTGTGTGGTTTAAAATCCAGTTTATGGAGCTTTGATTGGAGACAAATTTTGTTCAGTTTTGGCAATGAATAACTTTGTTTAATCTTGTATGACGTCATCATTCTCCTGATTTTTTTTAAAGTGAAAATAGATCGATGTATACATGGACACCAAGTTTGTGCAATTCTTTGACTTGTTATTTTGGTGTTGTGTAGCGGCCATCTTAAAATTGTGCCTTGCTGGCAAATCGTCAATTTTCGCCAAGGGGCACCCTGAAATATATTTTTACCCTGTTTTGTTAACCATGGTCAACTGATCATATCTTGGCCATTAATATATATTTTGGTTATGGTAGAATCTCATAACTTTGAAAATAATCACCTGCTTGCTGTTCTGGAGAAGTAGGTCCAAAATTTTAATATTTTTTTAACCAAGTGCAAGAAAAATTGCAGCAAGAACAGTTAATATATATCCTTGTTCATAAAAACAAAATGCAGCTAATTGAGAGTCAATTACGGTCTCATCAAATAAAAGTGCAGGTATTATGAGTATGTTATTTATTACATCACTCTATCTTGTAGGGATTTATATTTATTTTTACTAACCAGCTTACGCTTTTCTACAAGCCTTCATTCCCCTAATTGTCAATGCCAAAATATTTAAATTTGGTAGTGCGCATGAAGAAATCCAAATTCTACCTTTTGGAGAAAAGATTTAAGTACTGAGTTCTAGAAGGGAAAGTTGGAGAGAGTGGGCAAGCATTGTACCTTGGTAGTGTGAGCTTCTGGTTCTGCATTTATTGCTGGCTAAAGTGGCGTAACAGCTATTACTTTGCTGCCACTAGACTTCGACACAGTTTTAGGAAACAGGATTATTTGATCTTTGACTTTTTAGTTTAGTTCTTGTTAGTTGAGTTACGAGCGGTTACTATGTTGCTTAGTGACAGTTTCATAAGCGACACAATACAACTTGTTAGTTGAGTTACGAGCGGTTACTCCGTTGCTTAGTGACAGTTTCATAAGCGACAGAATACTATATTCAAGTCAAAATCATAAAAACAACCTTGTATTTAGCGTAAGTATATTGAAACACTCAATTGATTTTCGAGGGCAGTTAAAGGTCCCACCTCATCAGGAGAAAGAATTACCTAGAAAGAAGAAAAATAAAATAAAATAAAAGGGAATCTCAGAAACACGGGGTCCTTATCAGCACTGCACGTGGTTATAAGAGGATTTTTAATCAGAGTTACACTGGCCGCCTACACTTGCCCTCGAAATCGATTGAGTGTTTCAATATACTTACGCTAAATACAAGGTTGTTTTACGATTTTGATTGTCACATTAGTGTGTTTCTCTTCTAGTCTATATTCAAGTACTTAAAATTTCAAACTGGTAAATAATTTAATTCTTCATTGTAAAACAGCAAATTAATTCCTATTAAGACTGTTTATAGGTATCCATTTAACACATTTGCTTCCATATGTGAGAACTGGCGGGGGAAACGCCAAAATGCCGCGGCGCGCAATGAATTGGAAGTAAATCTGTCAGTACTGTCCTTATCTTCAGGGCAGATTTTTTATTTTGTTTGGCTTATAATTCCTTACTAAATATAGTATTTCATCTCGTTGTACTCCGTCTTTGATATGATTTAAATCAAATTCCTCGTCATTATAATTCGCTTCCGATAAAGAAGATAGTGACACAGAGGTTATTGAAAACGAAAAAATTTGGATTAACAAATAAGTTGGTATTCTCGACACAGTAATTATAGGACTTGAACGGCGGAACTTTGTAACTGAAGAAGAAATTATGTCTGTTTATAGAATTAAAGAGAAAGTATTATCACATAAAACGAAGCAACTTAAACAACTTACATTGAAAGAAATATTTAATAAAGTAAACAAATAAATATTTTTTTTTTTTTTAAGCTACTTTTTTTTTTTTTTTTTTTTTTTTTTTTTTTTTTTTTTTATAAATTTTGATACCTTTTAGATCATAATTGTTCTTTATTTCATAAATTATGATTTCATATTTTTAATTTTATAATTTCTGCATGCCATCTTACCAGATTTAAACTGATGATCTATAATCCGGAATCGCCAAAGTCCCGACGAGTCCGGATTAACGACTTTTGACTGTAGTTCATTCTCTCAAAGTGACAAGACTTTTAATTTTGCCTTTGAAGCTCTGTATTTCTATAACATTCATTATGCTATGTTCATTTTCAACTTTACTGTTTATTATCCTGAACTTTGTAAAGGAAATATGCACACAAAATAGTCAGAGTTAAAATCTCATGATGAGATAAAAGTAGTAGTATCAGTTTTTGAAAATGTATAAGATGTGTTTTTAATATAGTTTATTTAAAAGGTCCTAAGAGAAGAAACATTTGATAGGATACGTTTGAGTAAGAAATAAAAGTATATTTACGGGTACCCTTTGGTGAAAAGTGGCGATTTTTGGCAGGACATAGATACCGAGTTTGTGCAATTCTTTGACTTGTTGTTTTGGCTTGTGTAGCGGCGATTTTAACAAGACAAAGAATTGCACAAACACGGTACCCATATACACATCGACCTATTTTCACTTTAAAAAAAAAAAAATCCCAGAATTGAACAAACTTGGCATTGGGAAATTCCCTTGACTTTTTATCCATGTACACATTGACCTATTTTCTAAAAATCGCCGCTACACAATCCAAAATAGCAAGAAAAAAATTGCACAAACTTGGTATCCATATACCCATCAACTTATTTTCACTCCCCCCAAAAAAAACCAGAATTGCACAAACTTGGCATTGCACATTCCCTTTATCCAAGTAGTACACATCTACCTATTTTCACTTTAAAAAAAACCCTCAGATAATTGCACAAATTAGGCATTGCGCACACCCTTGACTTGGTCCATGTACACATCGAACTATATTCACTTAAAAAGTCAAAGGAGTAGCCAAAAAATATATATATACACTGGTGTGCAAAAATTAAGGACGAGACGGTTTTTTTCAATATAACTTTGTACAAAAGCTTTTCCAAATCAACACATTTAATACCGTAAGATCCCCAATACGTAAGGACATGAGTAATGTAAGCAACACTTACTAAAAGAGAAGTCAGAGGGATAAAAATAAGCCTTATTGAAAAAGTAGCATGGAGAGCAATGCGACTGAAGACCGAAACATCCCTGTGATGGGTGTCCAGCAAGAAACATCCGGTCTTCAATAGGGGATATGATCTCTCCTGACTGCTAGGCAGGTTTCACAGCATCTGCCCATGCTGAGAATGAGGGTGTCAATGAGTTGTTGAGGCATTGCTGCCCTTTCGTCTTGCAGCGCCAATCAAAGCTCCGGAATCGTTACTGGTGGTAAGGTACGAGCTGCCAAGCGTCTGCCTAGAAAATCCCTTACATGCTCGACGGGATTGACACCTTACTTAATCTCCTGATTGGTCTTTCTGTCCGCTCTGCCTCTTCGTTCAGCTGATATGCTAATTTTTCGACTTTGTCCTTAATTTTTGCACACCAGTGTATATATATAATCTCAATAAACTACATTTTAAATCAAACAATGAAATAACATAAAAAAGAAAATTCATCTTTGCACTACACAAAGGAATTATCCACTTACCTTATTTATGAATTAACGTCTTCAGTCAAACAAAATTCTTTAACATCCAAAAACTTCCTAAAATTATCTGAACTAGAATCTGTATACTGGGGTCACCATATAAAATTTAAAAAATGAATAATATCCGTAAAAACCCTATCGTCCGACCATACAAATTTCCTTCCTACAGACAGGACACTTAATAATGGCTACTATGTAAACCTTCATTTACACAGCAGTTAAGTAATGCTCTTTTCCCTTTTCTTTCCAAATCTTAACAGAAACTTCAAATTAATCTTACCACATTCAGCCATTTTACCCTCTAAAGCAGAAAACAGGGAATGTACTTCCTAACCAACACACATCACAAGCCCTTACAAATTCACCTCAATTATGCAACCGATTAGGTCATAACAGACATAACATTAAACTCCGTAACATTCAACTATTCAGGCTACCATAAATAAACCACCACTTGATGATAAATGAAACAATAACTTCACGATAATACAAGGGGTACCCTTCTCTGTACTTAACCAAAATGTGTATTGTTATAAAGAACATATGTGCCACACATACAATATTATGTGTTATGTACATAATTATTTAATAGAGTCAAAAGTCGTTAATTCGGACACCCATAATCCGGACCTCAAAGCTATAAACTTTCTGCGCATGCGTCGCGTTGATGCATGCGCGTCCCGTTCGTCCGTCCCTTTACGGCTGCGAATAGGCGTGTGCACGTGCGCAAAATACGTTTACGAATGCGCGTGTAGTGTATAACGGACGATATAAGCTAAGCTAAAATTATTTAATTCAGTTAATGTTGCAGATTGCTCTGTTCCTTAATCTTCTAATTGGATTCGGCTTATTTTTATTTTATTTTATTTTATTTATTTATTTATTTATTTATTTATTTTTGCAGACTGTTAGAGCAATTTTATAAAAGTAACTTTGAACTTTCGATTATGTCAAAAAGAGTTTCCGATTCTGGAGCTATCAAAGGATCTATAAAGCGAAAGCGTGTTCCGATGTCCATCAAACAAAAAGTGGAATTGCTGCAAAAAATGGATAAAGGCATATCCTTTGTTTATCTAAACTTTAACGTTTGTTTATCTTTAACGCTGTGGCGTGCAACGAATTGGAAGTTGATCTGTCAGCCCTATCCTTATCTTCAGGGCAGATGTTTTTATTTTATTTAGCTTATAATTCCTTACTAAATGTATTACAGTCAAAAGTCGTTAATCTGGACTCATCGGGACTTCGGCGATTCCGGATTATCGATTTTTTCGGATTATAGATCATCAGTTTAAATCTGGTAAGATGGCATGCAGAGATTCTAAAATTAAAAATATGAAACCGTAATTTATGAAATAAAGAATAATTATGATCTAAAGGGTATCAAAATTTACAAAAAAAAGAAAAGCTTAATATTTATGTGTTTACTTTATTAAACATTTCTTTCAATGCAAGTTGTTTCGTTTTTTATGTGATAATACATTCTCTTTAATTCTATAAACAGACATAATTTCTTGTTCAGTTACAAAGTTCCGCTGTTCAAGTCCTGTAATTGCTGGGCCGAGAATACCGACTAACTTATCAATCGAAATTTTTTTGTTTCCGCTAACCTCTCTGTCACATTCTTCATGTCTTTATCCATTTTGTGCAGCAATTCCACTTTTTGTTTGATGGACATCGAAACATACTTTCGTTTTGTACGATCCTTTGGGAGCTCCAGATTCGGAAATTCTATTTGACATAATCGAAAGTTCAAGTTTACTTTTATAAAATTGCTCTTACAGTCTGCAAAAAATAATAAGCCGGCTCCAATTCGAAGATTAAGGAACAACGCAATCATCAACATTAACTGAAATAGATAATTAGATAATTTTAGATTATACCGTCCGTTATACATAAAACGTGCACACGAAAACGTATTCTGCGCATGTGTCAACACGGCGCATGCGCAGAAAGTTTTAGCTTTGAGGTCCGGATTATGGGTGTCCGAATTAACGACTTTTGAGTGTATTTCATCTCAATGTACTCCGTCTTTGATATGATTTAAATCAAATTCCTCGTCATTATAATTCACTTCCGATCGCGAAGAAAGTGGCAGAGGTTATTGAAAACGAAAAAATGTCGATTGACAAATTAGTCGGTATTCTCGACACAGCAATTATAGAACTTGAACAGCTGAACTTTGTAACTGAACAAGAAATTATGTCTGTTTATAGAATTAAAGAGAATGTATTATCACATAAAAAACGAAACAACTTGCATTGAAAGAAATGTTTAATAAAGTAAACACATAAATATTAAGCTTTTCTTTTTTTTGTAAATTTTGATACCCTTTAGATCATAATTGTTCTTTATTTCATAAATTACGGTTTCATATTTTTAATTTTAGAATTTCTGCATGCCATCTTACCAGATTTAAACTGATGATCTATAATCCGGAATCGCCGAAGTCCCGACGAGTCCGGATTAACGACTTTTGACTGTACTGCATTCCTTTGATTGTAAAATGTGCCCTTTAATTTCCTTACCATTGAATAATATTAATAACAATAATAATTTAATTCTAATAAAATAAAATAAATGAAATGAAACTAAAATAAACGTAGCAAATAATATTTAATATCTGTTTTTTGCTGAATTAATAACATTTGTATTCGTATTTAATTAGCAATTTGAAAAATTTGTCATTTTGCAATTATTTGTAATTGGGAAAAATCTATAATTCTAAGATGTGCACCTTCTATTTTAAGATATGCCACATTTTTAGCTTGTGTAATCAGATTTTTAACTTGCAGTAGTCTTTTTTAATTCGACTATTTCTCCTTTCTGTTTTAAAAACAGCAAGTGCTTATAAGTGCATCATTTCCAAATTAATCCCTGTCATATGCTTCTTGCATAATGCTAATGATTCAGGTTTTTACATAAAGGCTTCAGCCAGGAATGATTTCAGATTTTGGAATCTAAAATTTTAGTGGCTAATACCAAAACCTTTTAGTAGCCAGCAGGTTTTATGGAGAAAAGCAAAAGTAAGATATTCGTTTTTAAGATAAAAATTGTGTTATCAGATATTTAACTTGCAGTAGTCACTTACCTCTTTTAATTTGGCTATTTCTTCTGTTTTAAAAACAGTAAGTGCGTATAACTACATCATTTCCAAATTAATCCCTGTCATACGATTCTTACATAATGCTAATGATGCAGTTTTTGCATAAAGGCTTCAGTCAGTAATGATTTCAGAATTTGGAAGCTAAAATTTTAGTGGCTAATACGAAAACTTTTTATTAACCAAGAAAAGTTTGGGAACCTACCAGATTTTCATCTGAGACATATCACATTTGCTTTCAACTTCTCTTGCTAGTTAGCCTACCACTCCAATTGTCTTCAAGTATGTTTCAAAATTGTAAACAATACCTGTATGGTTCTTCTAGAACAGGCGTGCTTATTACCCACTTTATGCGTGTTGGCCATAAAATGTTTGTTAACAAAACGGAATGTAAAATTGGGCATGACTGTAACTACTTCTTTATGCTATCAACATTTGTGTACAACTTCTAAGTCGTTTTATATAGAGTATAAAAGCCTGACTATTCGGCATTCAACTAACTGGAAGGCTGAAATAACTGAAACATTTTCCAATTTTGGAAACTTTTTGTAGTATCAAATTAAGCAAAAAAGAAATTTATAACTTTTTTATAAAGTACGAATAGGATTACAATTTGAATCAAGTAAAAACTGTTGTCAGATAGTGTGATTTAATGTCAGTAATGAATAAACATAAACATCATGTTTATTCATTACTGGCATGTAATGTAGAACAGATGTAGAACTTTATGTAAGCCCTTAAAATTCTTGATGAATTATTCTTATTTTCGTGAAACAGGATAGAAGTTAACTGGTATTTATCTGTTTTCAATCACATTATGAAAAAATGATTAAAATTTGGAACTTGTCTTCAATGGAATAGCATGCAGTAGAATTATTTCAAGTTTTTGGGATCCTAGCATCAAGAAAGCTGCAACTTATGTGAAAATGGATAAACACTGGTTGTACTACATGAAAAATTATGATAAATGATTTAATGTTTTTATATGTCTGTAACTTGTGTATGTTGATTAACTAAATAAAGAATTACCTGTTCTTTCAAACTTCTGCTGAAATAACTAACGAGAAAAGTTGATGAGATCTCTGCTAATTTTCACGGTAATAGATTTTTGTTATCGAATGTTATGATATTTTCAACCTTTATGTCTGAAAGTGTCATTATTTTATTTCAAAATCTTAGGTAATTTAGATGTAGGTGTTGATATTTAAGTTGATAACAAATAAAATGACTCTTTTTACAATTTTATGCTAGACATTTTGTCTTCCATTCATTTGCCATTTTTATTGTGAATTGCATTTTTTATTCTCACAGTTATCCACAGTTTTCGCGTATCCAGAATTGGGCATTTCCTGAGCTTTCTGGATAGTGGCTTTTACTGTCAAACTCTCTATTTATATACACACACAGAGATTCTGTGTATTGTAAAGCTACAGTACAAGTCTCAGTATGCATTGCACTTACTTTCATATGAACATATATCAGCACTGCGTGCCATATTTTAATATTTAAAATTTATGTAGTTTATTATTCAGAATATGTGTCTCTTTTCTGTTAATGGGATGCAAATTAGCTTCAAACATAAACACTGGCACAAAATCTAACTAGATGGCATTGACACTAGTGATGCTTAAAGCTTTGTGAAAATAACGACCATGTATATAATGTGAGTATAATAGATATATGTATGTATAATGCTTGATTTGTGTAATGCCTAGGTTTAAACTCTTGCCGAGTTTGTGCAGTTCTCCAATGTTTTTTTAGTTGAAAATGGATCATTGTGCACATGTTGAGAATGGAACTTTTTTTCTTCCTACGTACACAGCAATCTGTTTTCACTTGAAAATACAACAGAGAATTACATAATTTCAACATTGGTCATGAATTCAGCAAAAAATTACTATCTATACTTCAACAACAACAAAAAACTGAAAAATCTAGTAAAGAAAATTACTGGATTGATATTCATTCTTTCTGCTTGTTTGCAATGATGCTATTGCTGATGCAATGTAAACAGACTATCATTTTTGGTGCTTATATGTTCATGTGACGACTGTTGTCCCATTAACAGAAAAGCACTGAAAAATCATGATTATTGAGTACTTTTCCATTATGCACTTGCCACATATTTTAACGTGTATGTGTGTATAACAGAAAAGTATAATGTGTGTTTATACACATGCAGGCATACACACACTCATGAAAATGCATGGCAGGTGCGTAACGGAAACGTACCAGTTATTGACTGTGCTTTTGAATTTTTACTTTTGACTAAAACGAGCATGTAAGTATTGATAACAAGACTTTTCTGGGAGTATGCTAGTTATGAGAAATATGCAGACATTAAATCAAGATTTATCATTGATTACTTTTTTTTTTTTTTTTTTTTAATATTGTTGGCTTCTTTTATAATGTGGTCTTATTTACCCATGTAGGCTTACCAACAATGACGTCAAATCAAGACATGCTGGTGAGAGATATGGGTCATTTACAAATATCAAATTATTCTCCACAACAATATTCATCCAATAGTAAAAAAATTGCCCCTGTTGTGCCTCCAAAACCAAAATCGGATATGTATGCTACAGTAGGAGCTAAATCAAATGGAATGTATCATTCATCAGTACACCCTCCCCCACAGCCTGCTTCTGTTGTTTCAACTATAAGTATGTTTTGTTTGCTTTCTAGAAAATTTATGCTTATGTAAATGAATATGCATTTTAATTAATCTGTTTTAAAACGTAGGTTGCTGCTGGACATAAAAAGTATAGTGTTTAATTTGTGTTGTGCTACTGTCTAATCATCACAAAAAAAGTTAGGATAAATGAAATTTATGAAACAAATAATTGATTCTCTAGCAAAAATAGGGGTGACAGATATAGTATGTAAATGATGGAAACAGTTGTAAATTATGAAACTCATGTTGCATTGTAAAACTTGCATTGTACCTAGATTGTAAAACTCACATTGACTGTAGTCTTAACACTTTTTCTAAGAAAATCCAGTCAGTCCACTGGGCAGCATGCCAGACAGCTTATGTTAATTTGATTAGACAGTACATATAAGTTGTGTTACTATAGTAATATTATTGTGTGTTTGTATTTTTGTTTTTATTTATCATAATTTTTGTTGCTATTTTAATGCTGATTATTGATCATTGATGTAAAGGTTAGTACATGAGGATGAAGTTTACGCTGAGCTAAAAAATTATTCACTAAAAATATTTGAGGGGGAAAATATTAAATCTATGTACTATGTATTGATCTGGAAAAGAAAGGGGGGAACTCTAGGCATTTTTATTTGCTTTCAAAATTAGCAGCTTTCAAATTTCTTTTTTTTTTTTTTTTTTAATATATCTAATATTAGTATATAAACTATATTTCTAATATATGAAGAAATTTGGCCAATTCAGCAGTAGTGTTTTTTAAGTTTGCTGCGTCTAGTTTCGTTTTTTCTGCCTTCACTTTTCTTATTTTAATAATACAGTCATTTGTTTAATATTTTTTCATCATCTGGAATGGAATGTTCTGGAAACTTGGTATGTTATCATTAATGTATTTATTTACTTAATAATGTATTTTAGGATTTATGATACAGCATATGTAGTCATTCTTATTACAGATGTTTTTACCTTGTTCTCAGTGTTATTGCCAATACATTGATATATTTTGTTATGATGAATTACAAGCTTTCAATTCAAATCTTTGCCTCCTGTAGATGATCCTATTTATAGCAATTTTCATCCTGATGATAATATGCCTCCTCCACCTCCACCACCTCCTCAAGTGACATCATATTCTCCTCCTCCTTCTCAACACTATCCTCCACCTCCTCCTGATGCTGTAGCTGCACCATCGTCACCTGCAAGTTCCACATATGGGACCCAGGCTGGTTATTCTTCTTACAGGCCCAACTCTTCTGTGGTAAGCAACGTGTGTTACCTTGCTTATGCTTAGTTTGTGTATTTTAAATGAAATAGTATATCTTCTTAATGCATTTTTTTAGTAATCAGGATGTTTTTTAATATACAGTACAAAGTCTGTAATCCGGACTCATTGGGACTTCGGCGATTCAGGATTAGGAGTTTTTCCGAATTATAGATCATCAATTAAAATCTGGTAAGATGGCATGCAGAAATTATACAATTAAAAATATGAAACCGTAATTTATGAAATAAAGAGCAATTATGATCTAAAGGGTATCAAATTTTACAAAAAAAAAAAAAAGCTTAATATTTATTTGTTTATTTATTAAACATTTCTTTCAACGTGCGCATGCATAAAGCATACATTATGTGCATGCATAATGTATGCGCATTCTTTATGCACATGCGTAAAGTTTGTGGCTTTGAGGTCCAGATTATAAATCATTCCGGATTACGGACTTTGTACTGTATTATAAATTCTAAAAGCATTAGAATTTTATATCACTTGATTTTTATAAAATTGTCATAAACTCTTATGAACCTGATACATTTGGACATAACTATGTTTACATTCTTAGTCATTGTCTACAAAACATAAATGCAAGTTATAACTGTTCACACCAATGACATGCAGTTTTAACTTATATTCCTTATTTCATGGATGTTATACATTTAGCTAACACTGCTCATAGCTGACTTTGAGAGGACATTTGAATTCCTCTCATGTGAATTTATTATTGCGGAAGTAAAGAAAAATCCTCGTCCTTTTCTTGGGATCATCTCTTAAACTTCTTTGCAGAAATGTCTGTTAAAAGATGCTATCTGTTTAACTCTTTCAGAACGGGTGTCCCATATAAGCATTCCCTAAGACTGTCTTTTACAGTCAGGCGTCCCATCCATGCATTACTAGAGATTGCATTCAGAGGACGGGTGATGTGTATACACATTTTAAGCTGGAACGTTTTTCTGAAGGCCACTAGATGGCATCCTATGTCCATTACTTTTGAAATGAAGAAAGTTTTAGGTTCCTGACCTTGAGTTTGATATATTCTGCCTGGCTTTGGTATTTTACTCTTCAACTGTAACAAGGGGGGGGAGGGAAAGCGTAAACTGCTAATATAAACATTTGCGTGTCTAATTTATATTGAATTCCTTTTTTTATTCTATTTTTTTCCTCTACCATGTATGGTCCTTTAGGGTTACTGTGTGGAGTTCTCTTGCATTTTGCATTGCCTTCAGATACATTTCCGTTTCTTTTCTTTTTATTTCGTAAAGCCTCACCTCCAGTCTATTATGGCGGGAAGGCACTATTTATCAGAGGAAGAAACCCTTGTATGTTTAATGAACCATTTACTAATGCAGACGCAAGTGATGATTCATTTTCTAAAAAGTTAGAAAGTGATACTTCTCCATGCTTCGAGATTTACCACACTCAGTCTTCATTTTAAATTTTGTTACTTCTTACTGTAAATAGTCTTTATTGTGTTGTTTTATTAATTTAAAATTTTATTGATGGATTTTATCAGTTAAAACTTTGAAATAATTTTAATAGTGCTTCCAAAAATTATTTTACAAGATAAGCAATTTTTGAAGTATATTTTCATGTAAAATAAAGAAGGAAAAAAAATGTTATTAAGTGCTAATTTTAACATATATAAGAGCTCAAGTAATAGTCTAAAATGATACCAAAAATTACGCTGCTAGAAGCGAAACTTTTTTTAAATAAAATTCGGCTTAACAATGTAAAACCTCTGTCCTGTACGGTGATGCCTTTGATTCTCTTCTGTCCCGCACGAGTGTCTTAAACAAATGTGCGCCCTCACAAAAGGGTTAAGGAACATATTTGCTATAAAGGGATATGCAGCCCAGACCTTGATATCTTGAATATTTTAGCATGTCAGAAGAGGAGAGAAGTAAAATCCTTGCATTTTCAGTGTTAATTCAATTAATTTTTTCATAGCTGTTCTACAGCATACAGTTTAAAATCCTACTTTCTCAAAATTTCAATTTGTGTGTCAGAGCATTGAATAAAGAATCTCTGTCCATTTTTCCGTGGAAACATCGCAAATATTTTTGTGATTTGTGTTTTTTTTTTTTTTTTTTTATATTTTGTGATTTTCATCTCCAGTAGAATAATAAATAAGTTTATAATTTAAGAAAAAGAAGATTATTTTAAATATTGAAAAAAAATTTTAATGTAAACCTGATAAATTTATGTTGTGTTTCATAACATTCTTCATATATGTATATATAGACTAATTTTTCTAGAGTTCATACGACACTAGTTCGATATATGAACCTATTACACCACGACCTCCAAGCCAGATGAGTAATCGCTCAAATTACAGTATGGGCAGTGGAAGCTCATCTCTATATTCTTCATACTATCCAGCCTCAGGCCGAGGAAAAGGAACGACTGGGCGACCCACTGGAAAAGAAGCTGAAGTTGATCGTCTTACAGATCTGATGGTTCAGAGTATGGAAAATTCAAGTGATCCTGAATTTTATGGTATGATAATTTATTAAAATAATGTGTTCAGTAGGAAAAAATGCACAGGTTAATTTAATTTTGTTTTTAATTATTTTCATTTTATCTTACTTTTTTTTTTTTTTTTTTTTTTGTTTGTTTATAGTCTTTATTCATCCTAATTTTAAGTACAATTGGTATTAAGATTAAAACTGATTTTGAGCTTCTCTACATACTTACATAAATTTAACAATTTATATGTGGATTTCATATAGTTAATAGTTCCAGATATGTAGGAGATAAAATGTTAAATGCAAAATTTTGCATATTGGGTAAATGTAAGCAGTGTTAATATTTTTAAAGAGAGTTTTTACATTCAGAATTAAATGTTTTTTCTCCAAAACAAAGAGAATTAATAACATTGAGCACATATAAAGTATTAGACAGAAAAGCTAAACTAGAATGAAATATAGCTTTATCTGTTGATTGATCTCTTTTGTCATTAGATACAAAGCATAAATTTTTGATCTTGTACATCTTTCTCAAAATGGCTTAAGTAATTTCCAGTGAAAAAATCTTAGTGTATCTTCCGATGTGGAAATGATATCATGCATTAATTTGAAGGATGGTTTTGCTATACTGTATGTAGGATTTGCTTCAGAGAAAAACGTTAATTCACAGATTCATTTATGCACTCATATTTTATGCATTGATGTCAGGGTTATATATTTTAGGTTTTTGATAATGTTGTATTCAGCTATGAAAGTTAAGATTGTTCACACACTGTGTCAGTTTAGTGTATCATCCATTTAATTGATGTTAGAATCATTCCTTTTGTTTTCAAGAATACAAAATTTAGTGCTAGTTAAATTTAAGGCCATGCTGCTGCATGATATTGGATCAATCAAGGTCGGTTTGTATGTGCGAGGAGATGCAGTTAATTTTTTAGTCTTATTTGTCATAATCTAAATATTGTCATTCAATGAAAGAGATTACAAATTAGCTTAGAAAATCATATTTCTGATGTGGATGTTTTAGTTTTTAGTTATTAAAAAAGTTCGCATGATTTTTAAATGTCTGCTGATTAATATTTTTGAAGGAAATTCATATTAATTTAATCTTTTTTAAGAATAAATAATATGCTTTTTATCAGTTGTCTTCAAACTGTGTTTCGCAAAACTTCGGGCTTCCGCAAATCAAAATAAAAATTTCAAATGAAAATCAAAGTGCTTGCACTAGTTGACTAGTGTTTATTAACCAAAAAATGTAAAATTTAGTTATAAAACTTAACACATGGCCATTATATGTTGAACAGAATGATGTACGATGCTCTGCAAAACTTGTTTTCTTGAAAAGTTGGAAAATGAATTTAGACAAAATGTAAAAATAATAGAATGGAGCACTTTTTCAAGTGAAGAAAATTATAAGAGACTATTTCTTATAAGGAAAAAACTAAGTATGACTAGATAAAAGATCCATTCAAGTATTATGATAAATCATAAAGTTCGCTAGTGAAGAAAAGGCAGCAACTTATCGGCATATCAACAGATTTGACGTTAAAATCTGAATTTAAGCAAGAGTGTCTATTTTGGATAGTAGATTCATGCAAAATAGCTAAGTTTCTCACACAGCTATAAATATTTATATCATTCAGAACAGCGTATTTAAGTGAAAAATATTTCTCTGTGTATGTGGCTATGAAACAAAATATAGAAGTTAATTAAATGCAAAATATGAAATGCACTTGCAAATAATATTAGTAGAACTAGACTTTGATAGTTTGTGTAAATAAAAAGTTAGTACACCACTGTCATTAAATATAATGCAAGGATAGTTTATACCTGGAGTTAATGCTGTTAATGAGTAAATAACGTTATTTTATGTTAATTTTTTTAAATAAAAATACAACATTTTTCTTTAATTGTGTTTATTTAAAGTACCTATAACTTATTGATCTGTTTCAAATATTATTTCTATATATATTTTCTAAGGGTGGGATGGGATTCCCCTCAAAACCACAGAGTTGTAAGGGTTCCTCGAGTCAACAAAGTTTGAAGACTACTGTGGTGTATGATGAAAAGTATCTGGACACCCCTCATGATAGTGGATTCTGCCAATGATGTCGAGCTTCAAGCTATGAGACACGTATAAAAGAAACCAGATAAGTTCACAGATTTCAAAGCTGGAAAAGTACAGTGGGAAGAAAGCACATGTTAATTGATTTTGAATGGAGTAAAATGAGTAATTGTCACCACTGTTTGGAAATGTTAGGAGTGCTTCGTTCTCTTTTTCGTTTTTTCTCTCTTTCATGTTCGTTCTACATGGTGTTATCAAAGTTGAACTGTGCAGGCACTGTAGCTGTGCCATTTATAGACCATTTGTCTTGTAGACAGGGACCTTAAACTGCAAATAATTATAAGTCAAATGAATTTATGGGAAAAATTTGTCAGGAATTTCATATTCTAAGAAACCTCTGGATGCAACATCAGCACAATGGATATTCATTGCAAACTTTGAATTTTTGATTTGCATAGCAGAGCTGCTGCTAATAAACCAAGCACTAATGCAAAGCATCATTTATAGTGTTGCAAATATTGACAATGCTGGAACCTTGATCAGTGGCATCACATATCAAAGAGCAGTCAATCAAGGTATACTATCTGGCAATCTGGAGATGGTAGAATTTACGTGTGAAGATTGCTTAGTGAATGTATTTTATTTTACTGTATTGTGTCGCAAGTGAAATTTGGAGGTAGAAGTGTAATACTTTTAGACTCTTTTTTTTTTTTTTTCCCTTGGGTCCTTCGATTCCTATGCAGAGGACTCTCAAGTCAGAAGCCTGTTTGGATATTTTTGATAATATCATGCTGCATAGTTCAAAGAGTACATTGCTGTTTCAACGCAGTCCGGTTCCTGTCCATATTGCATGACCTCTGCAGAGGTGGTTTGCAGACATGGAAGTTCAGAAATTGGACTGGCCAGCTCAAAGCCCATATTTGAATCCAATAGGACACATTTGAGATTAGAATGTCGATTTGATCTAGACTGCATGGTCCAAGTCTATGACGGAATTGAGCAGTGTTCTGCAGGAATGGCATGCGATTCATGCTGAAACATTTTAGAAACTAGGTTGCCATTTTCACCTAGAGAGGCAGCTGTTATTTCAGAAAAAAGTGGCTTTTATAATTTAATTAATTTTTCACTTATCTTCATAGAGACAAAGTATACAAGTGTGTGGATACTTTTGATCATATTGTGTATATTTGATATCTTGGGAGAAAGGGAATTTTTTTTATAATGTGTTATAACTAATCTGCAGTAAAAAAAAATAAATAAATAAATAATGTTGAAACTTTTGTTTTGTTTTCGTCAGGATTATAGAAAAATAATGAACTTTTGTTCTTTTAATAAAGATTGGCAATATTTAGTATGAGATATCTTATTCGTTGGTGTTTATGTATTATTTAATTGTTATATTAATAGCTGTTATTATTTAGAATCTTTTTAATGGAAAATTTGTCTCTGACAAGAAATTCTTTAAAAAATAAAAAATACTGAAATTTGTACTAAAAACTAAATTTTTCATAGGAAGTTGTTATAAAAGCAATTTTATGAATGAAAGTTTAAATTCCTTTTCTCAGCATTATAAATTATATAGGAAATGTTAGTTGAATATTAAAAATATTGAATGCATGTTCATAAGTATGTAAGTTTATCTTTTACCTTTTCTCATGCTGCTTAGAGGATGAGGAGGAAGAAGAAATCCCTGTTATTGGTGAGTTAAGTGAAGGACGCATGTCATTATATTCCTTGATATTGTTATCTGTAAATTAAGTTTGGAACTCAAACTAACATAGAGCAGAGTATTGGAATTTTTTTTTTTTTTTAATATCACACTTTTTACCTTATAAATTTAGTACATTATCCTTTTTAGGAGAAAATTTAAAAATTGGGTCAAATAAAGGTTTCACATATAATGTTTTCATCAATTATTTTTTCCTGTATTTCATGACCGAAATTCTGTTAAAAGAGATTTTCTTAAAATTTTAAAAATATTTATGCAGGAGGAGAAATTATTCAAGCAGTTTGCACAGATATTTTATTAAAAGCAAGAGAGAAAGCATAATATCTCTGTCAGTGTATAATGTTGTGGTATTTTTTATTATATCAGATTAGCGAAACGTGGTTAAAAAAGGAAAGGGAGTGAACTTGTTCTTCTTCATTAGATCTTCAAATAACAGTAATCAGAAATTAATTCATACCTCTTGTACTTCTTTAGCTTTTGATGATGGTTACTGTTGAAATTAATATCTTATGTAAGTATGATACCTAAAAATGGGCAAAGCTCTAGAAGCCCTATCAGCTCTGTCAGAGTTATACCTTTTTAACCTATGTTTAAAACTGTGGTACAGAAGACAACATAGAATGAGATTTCAAGGTGACATTTAATGAAATTAATCTGTTATTGAATGGGTGGAAATTCTGATGTAGGCTCTGCGCTTGATCCATTTATGTTGTTCATCTTTATTTAAGTTACTTGTCAGAGTGTTTAATGTGATGTTATTAATGGTTAATGAATCAAAATTTTCAAGCTTTATTTAATTTGACATTGCTTTGTTTAAAATATGCAGAAAAGAAAAGCAATCGTATAAGTCTTCTTGTCCCCCCTGCCACACATGAATAGTCCCCCCCCCCCGCCGAAAATTGAAATTTTATGCGGTAGGTGTAAAATAGTCAAGCAAAGGCTTAATTAGGTGATATGCAGATATGCCAACTTCAAGAGATTATTTATCCTTTCATGGATGTTACTGTATATAGTGTGAAAAACCCCTTATATAATAAATAATATTTAAGTAAATTTTATGTAATGTAAAATGGGCAGCAAGTTATTTTCATGTAAATCAGCAGACTGCTTGAAGTTTCAGTAAATGTAGATTGTTAAAATTGTGCTAAAAAAAAAAAATACTTCTTTTGTAGGCATTCATGATTCATATTTCTTTATAGTTTGTATATAAGAATGATGATTTTATTTACTTTTAATGGTTTGTGTTAATTTACTTTAATATTGTTAATATGTTTTCATACATAATTGTAACCTATATATGATAAGTAAACTTAACTATTTAAATAATAACAGTAGTTATTTTTGCATATGTATAAGTATAGTTACTATAAATACTTTGACAATTTAGAGTTTATTTTGTTTCAAACATATTATGTATAACTATAATGTAAGTGAAACATTTTCTAGGTATGTGTTATAAATGTGGAGAAAAAGTACTTGGAGAAGGCAGTGGATGTACTGCAATGGAACATGTCTATCACATATCTTGTTTTACATGTCATATATGCCGTAAGTATTTGGTGGACTTTTTTTTTTTTAAATCTATGATAAATGGTAATTGATTTATCATAGTTTTAAACCATAATTTTCCTTTAAAATCTTTGAATTTTATGAAATATAGCACTAAATTATTAGGTTCTTCACTTCTTATTTAAATATATATTTAAGAGACAGGATTATTAAATAATGAAATTAATGTATTCATGCTAATTATGCAATTCAACAGTAAGGAGCTGCTAATGCATATATAACTGTTTAAATAACACAGACGTAAATTACTTGAGGCAAAGCTACCACAGTTTTAAAAGCTGTATAGGTGAGAAAAATCATTTTTAAAAAAACACTGGTTTTCTTAAATTAAGGGAAAATAATTTATTTTAAAATAGTCTGATTGTCAACATATTTGTTAATGTGAAATAATCAGTTGTTGAGTAAGCAATTATGTAAGAAAATTATGCGGTAGAAAGTCCATAATCCGGACTTGTCGGGACTTCTGCGTTTCTGGATTAGGGTTTTTTCCGGATTATAGATCATCAATTTAAATCTGGTAAGATGGCATGCAGAAATTATACAATTAAAAATATAAAGCCGTAATTTATGAAATAAAGAGCAATTATGATCTAAAGGGTATCAAAATTTACAAAAAAAAAAAAAAAAAAAAAAAAAAAAAAAAAGTAGCTTAATATTTATTTGTTTACTTTATTAAACATTTCTTTCAATGTAAGTTGTTTAAGTTGCTTCGTTTTTTGTGCTAATACTTTCTCTTTAATTCTATAAACAGACGTAATTTCTTGTTCAGTTTCAAAGTTCCACTGTTCAAGTCCTGTAATTGCTGTGTCGAGAATACCGACTAACTTGTCAATCGAAATTTTTTCGTTTTCAATAACCTCTCTGTCACTTTCTTCACTATCGGAAGTGGTATTTTCTGGATTTAGAACCATACTACAGATTTCGCCATCCGTTAATTAATTGATGATTGGGGCATTATTGTCACAATTAAAAACTTGTTATATCATCTTCATTTATTACCTCTTCTCCACATTTCTTTACAAAATCCAATAACTGGAAAATTTCACCTTTAGTTTGCGATGTCCAAAAACCTTCAAATTCGCGGCTATCATCTTCATCGTCCTCACCATGAAATGTGGTAGCTGGCCATAAATTATGCCAAGCATTTTTTAACATATCTGGAGACACATCCTCCCATGATCTTGCAATGCTCCACACAGCCGATTTTGTGCTAAAAAATTTCAAAAAGTCTTGAATAGTCTTGCCATTATTCAAGAAATTTAACATAGATTTTAAAAATGCTACTTTATATTTGCATTTTTGCACGTGCACTATTCCCATATCCGTAGGCTGAATGATAGACATGCAATTTGGAGAGAAGAATAACACGGATACATTATCTTTCACTAAAACTTTAAGTATGCACCGAACAGCTGTCAACAATCGGGATTATTTTTGAGTCATCAAGTAAACCAACTGAATTCAAATGTCGCTGAGCCTCGGGTATAAAATGATTTTCAAACCAGTCATTCATCAATGCTTGTATCATCCATGCTCTTTTATTTGCGCGATATACAACATGGAAAATTGTTACTCCTTTAAATGCTCGAGGTCGTGCATGTTTTCCGATTACGAAAAGTTTACATTTGTGTGTTCTTGCAGCATTTGCACATGCTAAAATTTTTAGTCTCGCTTAGGAATTTTTGACACCAGTTGGAGCCTTTTCTGTAGAGGTTGCCAAGTTATTTCGCCGTACATATTGCCAGAAAAGACCAGTGTTCTGGAGATAATTATTCACTAGTAATGAGTTCAATGAATTCATCTGCAAATTTGTTCAGCAGCTGAAGCTTTTTCACCTGAAATTTTTGTCTTATGTCATGGTGATTTTTAAATTTGGTTGACCAACCTGTCGAATATGTGCACTCAGTGTTTCAGTTTATTTCTTCATGAAATATTTTGGCTTGAGCCATTAGCATTGGACCCATCACTTTGTCATGATCGTCACTTTTAGCGTAACAAACCCTTTTTCTGTTATTTATTGCAAGTGAGGTGTCGGAATCCACAAAAAATTCAAAAAGTTCCTTTTTCTTTTTGCTGTCATATGCAGTTGACTTTCCAGTGTCATACTCCTCGCATAATTTTGAGACGGCTGTGCCTTTATTCATTTTTTGTAGCAATTTCACATATTGTTTGATGGACATCGAAACATGCTTTCGCTTTGTAAATCCTTTGGCAGCTCCAGAATTGGAAACTCTTTTTGACATAATCGAAAGTTCAAGCTTAATTTTTATAAAACTGCTCTAACAGTCTGCAAAAAATAATGAGCCAGATCCAATTAGAAGATTAAGGAACAGCGCAATCTGCAACATTTAACTGAAATGCCTCAGAATCAGTAAAGATAATTTTAGCCTAGCTTATACCGTCCGTTATATATTAAACGCGCATGCATAAAGCATACCAAAAGAAAAGTTTGTGTCGTTAAGGTCCAGATTATAGATCATTCTAGGTAATGGACGTTCAGATTACAGACTTTGTACTGTATTGATTGCACTGTTCCAGCATGGAAATTATTTAGAGTGAATGATCGTTCTTTATTCTGAATGTAATTAAAAATCCAAACTGGCTACTTCACAAGAATAATTTTGAAACATGATTTTAAAAAAGTGTGAAGAGTTATTGGCCTGTTTGAGGCAGGCTATAATGAATGATTCATCGATTATGAGTTCTGCTTTGCAAAGACTGTGGATTGAATTTTTAAATGGGATATCATTCTAAAGGTTCAGACCAAAAAACTGATCATTGGTGGTGTTAAGGCAACAAGAAACAGCATAATACTTGTAATATCTAGCACTAGTTTTGAAGATTTAAACAAAGAATCTTCAGCTGCGAAACTTCTGCAGCTGAAGGAGAAAATTCTGTGTAACTTTTGAAATAAGTCCTGCATATTTACAAATATTAATCTGTTTTTTGTTTAACATCTCCAATAATTGTAATTCGGCATGTTTTTTGAACTCAGAATAGGATTAAAAAAAGGGGGGAAAAAAAGAGAAAGAAAAAGTGGGGGAAAGAAAAGATCATACTGTCACTGTTCTGTGAAATTGATTACTATGACTAACTTTATGAAGGAGGAAGATGTTGTTAATATAGTGTAGTATGCTATCTACTGCTTTTAGTCAGTCAGTTATTTCTTAAATGATACTACTAAAGCTCTTTTTATAAACATGGAAATAAATACAGATAATTAAGAAAACATAAGTGAAAATGATTCCATTGGTTAATTTAATAACGTGTTAGATTTTTCAGTCATTCACCCATATACATTACATGTCATGCAGCATACACAAAAAAATCACTTTTACAAATGAATCTCCAACATCCATACTTCTGTGAAATAATGTAGAAGTATTTGTAAGGTGATACTCTGCAAGCTGTGTTTAGTTTCAGAATCCCGATCATGAATCATGTGTTTGAGTATTAGTACCATCTAACAGAATTCACAAGACATCATTCAGGTACTAACAGAATGACTAAAAGAGACTAAAAGTACTGCAGACAGTATTAAAAGAAATGACTAAAACAACAACTAATTTTACTGGTGCCATCTAAAAAATAACTTAATTAGCTAAAAGCTGTAAATCACTACATCATTACCAAGATGTTTTCATCATATTAATCATGAGTAGTTATCTATGTTATGTTAAGTGGCAGTTATCAGTGCTGTATCTAGCCATAAGTTTAATTTTAATTGTATTTTTCTGGCGTTCATTTCAGGAAATTCATAAATTGCATTATTGTAATTTAACAATATTATATTCTTTTGAAATAATAAAAAAGATTACATAATCATTCTTGTCTGATAGTTGATCTTAAATAATTTTTTAGTAATTTCAATTTGCTAAAACTTCTTTTGCATAGAACAATAGAAACGGAAAGAATTAGATGTAATCAAAGAGTGATATTAATGTTTGAATAAGATTGAATTAAACTAAAATCATGAAGAGCCTGTAGAATGTTAAGCAGAGATGTAGTTTCTATACTTTGTATGAGTTGTTAATTCAAAATTAAAACTTTCAAGCTCACGCATGAAGTCATACCTTAGTAGTGAGATCTGCAGTGCTTTTTTTTTTTTTTTTTTTTTTTTTTAATCAACAACATTTACGTATTTTAAAGATGAGCAGCAGAGAAAGCAAAAATTGCCACACATCATGCCTAGAACTTTAGCTACATCCCTTGTACTTTGTCCAATCCATTTTGATGCTCTTTATGCTGATTTGCTGTTGAAGAATACATATTTTTAAATGTCTTTTCAAGCCATTTTAAAACTGAATTGACACCATTTCATGTTTTACCAAATTTCACAAAATCCTTTGATGTCTGCTACAGTATTTATATTTTAATAACTACCCCCCTTTAATCAGTCATACGAACTTTCGATGCCCGAACAGTAATTGCAGTCTGCAAAATTCCTGTTTTTAAGTATCCCTAAAAAAGGAATACTAATAAAAATCTATTGTAAACTTGATTTTAAGCATTTATTTTATGCTACTGATGTATTAACAAATAAACAAATGCAGAATATATATATAAACAGAACTGTCAAAGTGTTTAATATTGTGATATTAATCTCTTGCTTCTCATATTAAAATATTAAATTCATTGGAAGGGCATTTCATATTCCTTTCTGATTATTTTTCATTTGAATAAGTAATAATATTTTAATGTGTTTTTTCCCCTCCAATAAAGTTATTCAACTAAAATAAGTTTATGAAAATGTTATAATTTCTTGCAGATAAGGAACTTCGAGGAAAGCCTTTTTACGCCAAAGATGGGAAACCCTTTTGTGAAGATGACTATTTGGTATGTTGCATGCTTCATGCTTATGCTATATTCCCTTTTTTTTTTTTTTTTAATTATTAAAGTTACTGCTTCATTGCCCTCTCTGGTTAGGGAAAAACATTTTCTATCTAAATCATCAGTTCTGTTTCATCTTGATACTGTACAAAACTAAAGTTTACAAGTAGCTGACAAAATGCAAATGAGCAAATTACTTTTCTTGAAAGGTACATTCTTTACTCAGGAAACATACACCTGAAAACCAACTAATATGTGGCTTAAATTTATGCTGTCATATTTATTGTGTTTCTTTGTTTTGTTCTTGGGAATAATTTGTTTTTATTGGAAGGATAGAAAAGATTTTTCCGTTTTTTTTTTATTTATTTTTTTTTTTTATTAAAAATGGAACATTGATACTGCAATAGTCTTCAAAATTCTTTTCTCAAAACAAATTAGTTATTGGTAGAACCCTGTGATGCTTTACTTCTTTTTGTATGCTATAAAATACAGCATGGGAAATATATATTAAAGGTAAAAAACCTCATCAAAATGCCAAAAGGCGTATAGAGCATTTTTTTGGGGGGGGGGAGGAAAAAATATTTATTTAGTGAAAAGTCTTCGGTATAATAGAAATATGATCTTGTCAATAAATTAGTTGAAAATACCATTTTGCTTTCAGATGAGTATTAGGTTTGTTGTTATCAGTGTACTTACCTGACAAAGGTCAGCACAAGCTCATGGCATTCATTGTGGCAAGGAATCATATGTGCCAGTTGTTGGTAAGAGGCTTGAGCACCATATAGGTGACAGTCCAACTTGAACTTAGTGTTGAAGGTATTCGTGGTTCATATTTGTTTACTGTTACAACTACGCTAAATCGAGATGAGCGGATGAATAAAACAGAATTAAAGTTCTTACCTTAACAGAGTGTAATCCAAGCTGCGGATGTAAGGAACACGATCATTATATTAGCAAACACAAAATAACATATTTATTAGGTATTTGAAGAAAAAATATCTAGCGATGATTACAAGCGTCGTTTACTGTCCATTGCATAACGTGAGAAGCGAGTCATACAAGGAGAGAATGTTTCTCCTTCTTTTTGGATCAAGTCCAATTACAGTTAGCGGGGGTGAGGGGAAAATTAACGTCGGAGTGTACAGCTTCATCACTGTCATTATGAATTTCTCCACACTTAGTTCCATCCCCAATTTTGAGAGAGCACCCCAGGGAAACAAGTCCAAGGGCCTCTTACCCCTTTTTCCCTACCACCAACCTTTTGAGAGGACTTTCGGCTCACTGCATATTTAGAGTGCCTGCATGCTGCACAGTTGCTATACATTTACAAACATCCATGATTTCTCTGGGAATCAAACTCAAGTACTTTGTTACAGCAGTCAGAATCACTACTATTGTCCCAGTTAAGTGGTGTATTGGGTGGTAGGTTCAATCATTGTAATTCCATTTTAAAATAGATTCCCATTTCATTTGTAAGAACTGAAAAGTTGGAATTATTCAAAGAAGGTAGTAGTTAGTACTTCATTCATGAAAGTTTAATTTTCACTCAAAAAATTCTGTGAAACAGGCTTGAACTTTCTGGAATGTGTATTGTTTTTCTTTTTTAAATGGTTTTCTGATGATCAAAACAGATGGCAGTCTGTGAGGTAGTATCAGGAAAACTGCAAGATAAGTTAGAATTTCTTAGCTTAAATTCTATTTCTGTAATTTTTTATTTTAACTGATGACAGAACACTTGCTCATTAAACATTCATAGGTAATGACCAAATCCCTCAGTCTTTAGTCATCTCATCTGTGAGAATGTTGTCGAGGGTACACTCTATGGAGGCTGACTGTGAAGAGGAGAAGAAAGAAGATTGCACAAGAGTGAACCCTTGTGTGGGAATTGAAGAGTCTTTCAAAACATTATCAGTTATCACTGGTGTACTATACTATGATTTGTAATCAAATGTAAAGATCTTGGACTAAAATTTCGTAGATCAATATGACATTATTGAATTCAAATACACTTTTTCAAATATGATCTCTTTCTGAAAGATAAGTTATACGACTGTCTTTTTTATGCCCTGAACAGAAAAAGTGAACTCCAATTCTTCCATCTCTACATTCAGATAAGAGATTTGCGAAAAATATAATCATTTTTATATACAGTGAATTCCATCTTAAACAACCACATTTTTAACAGTTTTATTTTTCTGAAGATATTTTTTCTTTGAATTAAGTGCCAGTTCTAGGAAAATATGCAATCTACAGAAAAACAGGTTGTATTTTTGTTTAGAAAATAATGTTAAATCTAGTGCTGCTTATCTAAGCTATTGAAATTAGTCATCAGTTACTTGTGCCATTTTAATGAAGTTGTTTCATGTAATATTTATGTAATGTATATGTAATGCACATGTATAATTATGTAATGCAAATTGATTTTTTAACAAAGTAGTTAATAAATATTTATGTGCAATATATATACAGCCATTTAAAATTTAATTCGTAATTATAAATATTGTTTTTGTATGGTTTTTTTGTGTTAGCCAGCTATTTGTTTATCTAACTTATTTTCTTTTCTGTCAGTGTTTTCTGAGTTTTTAATCCAGTTCATTAAAGTATGGAGTATGTGAACCATGCTCTTTTTTATGTATATATGGAATTTAAAAAAGTGATGATAAATAGAAATTTAAAAAAAATTATTTGAATTTTTAACTTTTTTAAAATTGTTTGGGAAAAGACAGAAAATAGTGAAAACATTGTGTGGGAGAGTACACTTGTGATGCCGATATGCAGTGGCTATATATTTTGTATCTGTGTGTTTTTTTATTTTGTTATATTTATCACTTTTATGTTAAAAATACAATGTCAATCGAGAAAAGATCAGTTTCATTTAAGGTTCATAACTATTTAATGTATAAAATAATTTTAAAAGGTAGAATTTATATTATATGAGATATGTAATATATATATTACTTAAAAATATCTTTACATATAGGAAGCATGAATTTTATTTTTATGTTCCAGAACACGTTAGAAAAGTGCTGTGTATGTGGTGGTAGAATCCTTGATCGTGTAAGTTTTTAATGTTTTAATTTAGGAACTTATTGAAATGTGTCTGAAACTATAAGTTCAGTTTAGTTTATGAGTTTTTAAAATAGTATATTATTTACATAATTTTTTCCTTTGCCTTGAAACTATATTTCTCAAACGATGAAACAAAAAATATCTGCATTATTTGTATTGAACATATGAAAGTTGTAAATGAATTAAAAAATTCTAAATGGACAAAAAATGGATTTAAGATTCTGAAACAATTTATTTTTATTCTTGGGAGATTATTTTTTTTTTACTTTCTTCAGCATTGGGTTGCTTCCAGAAAAAAATGGAAGAAAGAGAAAGAAATTAACAATGATTGATTACATGTAGAGCTGATAAAGGGGATAAATTTAATAGCAGTTTAATTTAATTGAAAATGAGTATTTTTGTTTGCTTAGTAATTAAATAACTTTTTGTGAAAAAAGTCTAGTTGTATTTCCTATTCTTTCTGAATAAATATGGTTATTTTCTATATTTATTGATGTTTGAACTGAAATTCAGCTTTTAAATCCAACTAAACTCACAGATGTGAAAGCAGATCTAGCAAGTACAAAAACATACATATGCTTATTTACATATAAATGTTACCAAGGAAAGTTGTTGCTGGCATAGAGATAAGCTAAATTATACATGTGATGAAGAAAATATTTAAATTGATTAGTAATACTGTTATATTTATATGAATGAAATGAAAAGATATTATTATAAAATACCGTATATTCCGGCGTATAACATGAACTTTCAGTACAAAAAATTATATCAAAATTTACAGGTATGCATTATATGTCTGGTATAAAAAATGATAGATAGATTAAAAATATAGGAGTCGGCATAAAAAAATTAGATATATATATGTACCTAAATGTTGTTTATTTGAAAGAAATGACATACTTTGTGAACTTACAAATTTTCATTATCGGATAATGTGAAAAGTTCATTATATTCGTCTTCTGTTATATCTTGGGCACAACATCGAATTCTGTTTCATTTTCGTAATCACTGTTATTCTGATCCATAAATAGATAATCATCTTCTGTTCCATCTGGATTGTTAGATATACAGCACTTTTTAAATGACTTTTGAATGATTATGTCGGATTTTATTTCATTCTGTGCTTTTATTAGCTACTCACACTCTACCTCTAAACTGGCATGATGCATTTGGTCTCCTTTTGTAAATGTTTTTTCACTTTCTAACTTCCATGTATTCCATTTTTATTTTAAATTTTCTTTGAATGGTTTATTAATACACATATCTAAAGGCTGAACTAATGGCGTTAATCGACCTAAAATAACTGCCATGTCTGCCTTACACTCTTTCAAGAATTGCTTTGTATTATCCTTTAGAGGAGATCTAAACATGTTGCAGACTAAGACTTTCTGAATTCTTTAAGGCAGAAGGACGTTTTTGCCCAAAATTTCTTATCCACAATTTTGCACTGTTTTCGTCCATCCATTCTTTCTCATGAACAGGAATGAAAACACCATTTGCAAAATTACATTTTGGCATCATCTTTTATTATTATTATTTTTTTAATAACCATGGGTTTTAATTTAAAACTGTCCACCAAGCAGGAAAGCACTACAGTGAAGTGAGATCCTTCATGACCTGTTGTTTTTGTGTGAACCGTTTTTGTTCTTTTCACATAAATTGTTTTATTTCCTATCATAGCAAACATTATTGGAGTTTCATCCATATTTTCAATATGTGACATATTTTATCCCTTCGTAGGTCATACTTCTAAAAACTAATCAATTACCTAAATCTTTTGGAAGCCTTGGCAAAACTTTTGCTTGTTCTGGTAGAACTAAATTATTCCCTGCCATAAATCTACTACACCAACTCAAGGTTGCAAGAATGGGCAAGAAGATTGAAAACGGGGCAGCCCCATTTTAGGCAAATAAACATGTACTGTTTCTTGTTACAATTAATCCATTCTGACACTTTTCTAAAACTAGTTCACAATATTCATTTCATTACTCTTTTATGTAAAGCACATTTAATCTTTGGCATATTAATTTTTGTGATTTCATTTTTCTTCTGCTTATATATAGAATTTTCACCAAACATCCTTGCTATTCCATTTTTCACAATTTCCATTTTCTATCACAAAATGAATGGCTTTGTATTTGAAATCAGCACTGTCTTTGTTTCTTTTTAAGAGGTTTCTTATTTATTACCAAAAGAAACACTAGATCAAGTGTATTTCAACTAAAGCAAATGCGATTTAGTAAAGCCTTCAATTTTCACTTCAAAATCACGGCTTCAAATGACTACAGAAAGAGAAAACATCAAACTTCTAATTCCAGAATTCATTCAGGTTAGAAGTGCATTCTTTCTCCAAATTATATCCCCCTTTTCCCGAAACTATACAGTATAATTTTTTGGGACAGCTTCATTGAATACAGTCCATCCTCTTTGCAGGAATATTTACTCCCTCAAGCATTTAACCCACACACATATTGTGCCCCTTATTGCTTCTCTTCAGTATACTGTTTGAAAGGCTACAACAAATCTTCAAATAAGTGACCTCAAAAGATAAGAGCATCGCACATGTATCTTTTAGTCTCTCTCTCTCTTTTTTTTTTTTTTTTTTTTTGGTGTGTGTATGTGTGTGAAGAATTGGGTGCAGGTTATACGGCAAATATACCTAAAAATTTTAAAATGCAGCTTGAAATTATAGATGCACTTTATGCATCCGTGCATGTTTTATTCCAGAAAATATGGTAAGTAAAAAAAATCAATTTCTCTGAACTGATTTTTTCTGTGATGGAAGAAATTATTTAAGTCTGCTGAGAATACTTCATTTCTGCTTTAAGCTAAATGCTATTTGCAAAATCTTAAATGTGATGATGTGGCATTTTAAAATTAAATCAAGGGTAGAAACACAAAATCTGCCTACCTTATCCATGGGTTTCCTAATCCAAGAGCCACCAGGTGAACTTTAATCTAATCCTTCAATGAACATTAATCCAGATGATCAATAAATCTTTTGCACAAAACATGTTTTAATGTGAGTGAAACATACATTAGTTATATGACGCATTGAGAATGTCTAATTTCAAGTAGTTGCTGGAAGTGTCTTTATTGAATTCTAGTTCCAATGAATACAATAACTGAACTGGTCTTTTGATAACATTACCATTAGTCAAACAAAGAGCACATGCTGTGATCTTGCAATTTCAACCTGGAAAGATTTCTGTATAATATCCATTTTCCACATCAATCTTGGCATCTTATCTTCATGTGCTAATAAAACAGTTCCTTCTTTCAAATAGATGTCCCTTTTTGTCAATTTGGAATGATGAGCATATTTTAAATTTATCAAATATTTCTGTCTCTTTTTTTAAAGTTTTGTCTGTCAATATTTTTTTGTGTCTAAATCGATATGTTAGACTCTCTTTTTCTCTTGTGTTAGAACTGATGATAATGATAACAACTATCCTGTTAAAATGCATCCAGAAGTCAGAAATTCTGTTAGATCTGAGTAGTTAAAATTCTAGAATTCAATATAGCTTCCACTTCTGTTATGACTGTCTCCAATTCCGTGAATGTCAAGTATGATTTGCTAAGGTTTTTTTAAAAGAGTTTTCAGAGACGGAACCTTATAACATTCAAAAGTCTTTAATCCGGACTCGTCGGTTTTTCCGGATTATAGATTATCAGTTTAAAATCTAGTAAGATGGCATGCAGAAATTATAAAATTAAAAATATGAAACCATAATTTATGAAATAAATGGCAATTATGATCTAAAGGGTATCAAAATTTACAAAAAAAGCTTAATATTTATTTGTTTACTTTATTAAACATTTCTTTCAATGCGCGCATGCGTAAAGCATACATTGCGCATAGTCGAACTTAGAAAATTGCAACAAGAAAACTATTTGATGTGTATTCGTGATATTTATAATGACAAGGAATTTGATTTAAATCATATCAAAGACGGAATACATCGAGATGAAATACTACATTTAGTAAAGAATTATAAGCCGAATAAAATAAAAACATCTGCCCTGAAGTTAAGGGTAGTGCTGACAGATCAACTTCCAGTTGATTGCACGCCACGACGTTTCCCCCCTCCCCGCAGAGCAGCGTGAAATTGATAAACAGATTTCGGAATGGTTAGAGAAACAAAGGATATGCCTTTATCCATTTTTTGCAGCAATTCCACTTTTTGTTTGATGACATCGAAATATGCTTTCGCTTTGTAGATGAGATAGCAAATTCTAATTCTCCTCCGAACTTTCAGAAACCAAAATTTTCTTTGTGATTTCTCTATTATACCTTTCAGTCTGGCAATTTTGAAGAATAATTAGCTTAGTCAAATGATCTTTGAGGCAATGTGATTGGATGCTTTTGTTTGTAATCCAAATTTAAATTTTGTAGTTTTCCACCAACACGAATTACATCATTTTCATCTACAAAAAGATTAAAGAACTTCAGTTTTTGGTTCTGAACTTAATTGTCCTTTAATGCACTTATTTTATCTAGGAAATTCAGCTCCTGAGTAGGTCTGATTCAATAAGTTTCTGCCATTTCAGTTTTGGTAGCCTTTAATGATTCAATTAATTTCGAGGTATTTCTACCATTGCTAATGAACCTGAAGCATCCTGCTGTAATTCGATAAATTTGATGTAAACTGCTGTAATTTTGAGCTTTAAATAAATCTTTGGAAGGCTCTGTGACACGTGATTTTACAGATACTTCCATCCATGCTTTTCTCAATTTCTTGTTGGAGCTTTCGATGTTCTTTCTCCAGCATACATTCCCTTTTGGCCAGTCTTCCATTTCTTTTTTTAACTACGTCCTCCCTTTCCACCATATGCAATTCTGTTTTAGACTTTTGATATTTTCACTTGTATACTTAGTAAGTAAGCTGGATTATCTTCACCAGGACTATATCTCCAGTTTAACACAACTGAATTTTTCTGTAATTCCCTCTCCCTGTTTTCTGCATATAGTTTTCATTTTTTAACATCACTTCAAATCCAGTGTAACATTACACTAAAATCAGTCCATAAATATATATTTAAATCAAACCATTCATATGCAATAAATCAATGTCCTGAAGTTTCTTCTGCATGTATATTGATGAGCAGGAGCCTATCAAAGCACCCATCAATTTCCATCTGGCTAGGGATAATTTCTTCACAGGTGCTACTTGTGATTTCGATATAATGAAACTTGTGTGGATGACTCCATTTTTCAAATAACAAAAAATTAGTTAAAATATGCAAGTATAGCTGTGTGATAATTAATTTTATATTTTAGATAAAATACTGTTAAGTGTTTTTGATATATTTATTATTTAAATTTATTTACAGTCACCGTGTTACTAATATGTTCCACAGAATATATGGAAAAGAATAATTTTGATTTAAAATATAAAAACGGGGAAAATTCCAGGTGGAAGTTGCCTTTACTGAAGTACGTTGTTCACTTTTAGGGAAACTGATAAAGGTCCCTCCCTCTCTTTCAGGAAGCAAAAAACATTCTGTTGCATAGGACAAAGATAAAATTAAAGGAAAAAAAGGGGGAGGAAAGAATTATTGGGCAATCTATTGAATAAAATTAAGGGAAGAAAAAGAAAGGTTTACCCCTTCGCGCCGACTGTCACGTCTACGTGCCAGCAACGAACACACTCACTTCCCGGCCGGCACGCAGGCGTGCCAGAGTGTTTTCCCATTCAGCCCCGACTGTCACGTATTTGTGCCAGTGTCCTGGAACATTTTAAAAACTATAATTTCTGTCACAAGATAGCACTGTATGTCCATATGGTTTCAGATACATGTACATTAGACCTTCTACTCGAAATGAGAGAAGCATGACTCACATACACGTGTTTTTAATTATATAAACAAAAGGGGAAATAAATGTTTCCGAATAGCATGATTTATGACGTCTCTTTAAATTCGCACGTGGTAGTTGTTTATTGTAAGTAGAGAGTTTTATTTTCGCTAAAGCATTGGGTATTTTGGTTTGCAGTTCAGTTTTTAGAAAATAATTAGATCTTGTTAGACGTGAATTCTTTCTGTGTTTACCGTTGCAATGTTGAAGTGTCGAAAATGTTTAACAGAGCATGAAATAGCAGAAATGATGCAAAATATTTCAGATATTGATTCTGAAATTGTGATATTCTGATATTGATTCTGAAATATTAACTGAAAGACATTTTCCAAAACTTTGTTCAGAAGAGACTGATAAGAAAATGAGACGACGATGCTTCGTTTGTTCACATTCCCTGAAAAATCCTCCAAAACAGCAAATGAGTTATTACGAGTGCAAGGAATGTAACGTAGGACTGTGTGTAGATCCCTGTGTTTTCAAATTTTTCATACGAAAAGAGAATTTTAAGTAATATATTTAGTTTTCAGATGTATAATGTTAAAAGTCATAAAATGGTGAGTAATGAAAATAAAATGTGTAAAATATGCATTTAAACAAGAAATAAGGTAATTAAAGTATATATAAAAATATCTATAAAGCATAAGCTGTTTAAGTACTCTATAGAGCATTATTAAACAATGCATTGATACTTCGGAAATTTCATAGATTTAGGCTTAATAGCAAAAAAGCCCCCGGCTCTGGACTGACGCTTGCGTAAGACATGCACGATTGCACTACCTGGCGCGAAGGGGTTAAATAATAAGGCTTGTCTCAGCCCCCTTACTTATGATTTTAATTTCAAACATATTCTTCCAAAGTATTTAAAAGTTTTCTCTCGTAATTTAAAATTCTAACATTTCTCTATTCTTTAGTAGGTTGTGTTATCATTTTGATGATTGTATTTTATTTTATTTATTTAAATTACCTATTTTTGAATTAGAATAGAAAATATTTGGTATTTTTTCATTTAAACCATATTATTCATTTTGTCTTATTTCTCTCTTCATGCCATTTATTCAGTACTAGTCAAAACTGAACAATCAGGAAGAGGAGCAGCAAGGAAACATTCAGTAATTTCACAACAAAATCATCTAAAAACTTCATGGGAAAGAACATGACCACTATTGTTTTTCCTTCTGTGAATAAATTTTCATAAGTTTCCACAATTTTGTTGCATTTATCAATTTTAGCATTTGGATGAGATATCAGTGAATTGCCACATTATGTCTCTCGTGTAATTATGATCAGCCATTGTATTGTGATTTATTTGTAAAAAGGCCTTTGTTTCACAAAACTCTACTGACATTTAACTTCTGACACAATAAGGGAATGTTACAGCAAGTAATAAGAGAAATGGTAATCCAACGAGCCATATTTGTGTTCAGATGCATTTTTGTCCTGGCATGAACATAGGTTGTGCATCCATTTAGACTTTAAGTTGCATTTTAATTTCATGATGGAGTTATTCGAGCATAATTTTACTTTATAAGGAAAAAGACAGAATAATTACCCTTCCTTGAAGAAACAGGATAATTACTCTTAGCAAATCTTAATTCATAAAATCCACTGCAGTTAAAAAAAAAAAGTTGACATTCAAAAGGGCCCTTTTTTTTTTTTTTTTTTTTTTTTTTTTTTTTAATTTTGTAAGTTTTGTATGCTTTTACTAAAGCTACAAGTTATCATCATGTTATCCTCTTCTGCCATATAATGGAAAATAAAAATTTTCATTGGTCGCTTAAGTGCTGAGAAACGTTCTGATCTCATGATATTTTGAAAAGTGCTTCAAGCAATCCTGACCAGTATGATTGATTCAGTGCACCATTTTCCTCCAGGATTAACTACCATAGTGTCATCTGTTCATTTGAAAAGTGATACACATATCAAAAGTGATTCAATGAAAAAAATCAGGTTCAAAATAGATAGCCCTGTCAGGCTAAAAAGACTGATTAGTTGAAAATGTGGTTGCACAAGCAGTGATTTTAAAAACAGTTATTGAAAGGAAAGAATCCAAACTAAACTGATTACATCTGGCATTGAGGAAATATGCCAAAATGAAAAAGTGCACCAGATGTTATGCATTGGAAAAGTGCTGGGTATTTTTGATACTTTAGAAAAAGAGTTGAATTTTCCTAGATTATAAATGTTACACTGATTAATTTTGCATCTGCATGAAACATTTGTAATCTAACAAAATTGAACTTTTGATTGCTGTTGCTTTTACACATGAGGTCCTTCTTTTATAATTTCTGTTTAGAAATGCAGTTATATGTGCTGTTTATAAATGAATTTGAAATATATTTATTTCAGATTTTAAGAGCCACTGGAAAACCATATCACCCTAATTGCTTCACATGTGTTGTTTGTGGCAAATGCTTGGATGGGATTCCATTTACAGTTGATGCAACAAATCAGATTTATTGCATTGACGATTTTCACAAGTAAGTGGGAATTTCATTAATTTGCTGGAGATTTGTATTTAATTTAAACAGAATTTCTTTGGCATTTTATTAAAAAAGAAAAAGACATAAAATTGTCTAAAATGCTAACTTTAATTTTTGTAATTTGCAAGATCTGAGAAAATATGGAAAGTAAACGAATAAGTTTATGTAGGACAAATCATTAATATCAGCAAATCTATGAAGGATTTTGGATTATGAGTTTAACCTTAAAATATTATTTTATTTCTTATAATATCATAGATGCAAAAAAGAGTGAATGCTGCTACAATTAAGCAATGTAAAAAGTATCTTGATAAAGCACTTTTATAACAATTGTATAACTAATCCTATCAATATTGTTATGAAATGCCCAGCTGTGGTAAGATAGCGTCCTGGCAAAGCATGGTTAGGGTTGCCAGATTTGACATGAAATTCCCATTTGGCCACAAAATTCGCAATATGCCATAGATGAAGCAAGAACATTCTGGAACGAATTCTTACCGGTTTTCCCGAGAATGTTCTCAGGAGTAAGAGAGTATCTAGAGGATGTTGAATTCAGTATCAGTGTAGTAGAGTTCAGAGATTAGCTTGAGAGCAACCAAACTGAGTTGGAAACTGTACTTTAGTGCTTGTTACCATGAAGCTGTCATCACCATGTAGCCTGAAGGCTGTGTTGCTGGTTGTTTCAGCTTGTTTAACATAGTCTTTTTGATGGCTGTAAACATGCTTTTGAAACTGTCCTGAGTAATACTGCCAAATAAATTGTATTTTGATTCTTCATCAAGTGTTGTCATTAATCACTCCAAATCCACGAACCTGTAGAATACAATAATGTTTTTTTTTTTTTTTCCTTCTGACACTTGTTTATAAAATTTGTTTGTAAAATTATGCATGTCCTTGAGATTATTACAGTAACTTCTTAAGATAGTGTTTTCTGAGATTCAATTATGTTTCTCTTAAAATTGTTCATCGTTTGCTTTAGACTGCAAATTGTATGGGAAATCTTTGGTTTTTAGTTTGAACATTTATGAAGGTTCTGGAGCACCCACTTTGTAGAGATTAGGTACAAATATGTTGCTGGAATTGATATTTTTCTCTTGTTTTCCCTTCTCCCCTTCTTTTGATATCCTGTTGGTTCATCAAGGTGGTCCATGAAATTCCATAATTTTGATTCTTCATTTGTCCATCCTCTATTTATGTCTATGAGAATATTTTTAACATTTAAATTGAGTCATTGAAACCCTACTTTTCACTCAGGTTTTGCATATTGTAATAATTTCTGTTATTGTCAGTTATCAAAGTATCCTGGACTGTAGGAAGTGGGTGAGTCACCAGAATTTTATCAAATGATCTCATACGTGTATATAACACTTACAAACATACATACCTTTTCCAGGATTTGAAATTGGGCCCTATGATATGGCAACCATCATCACTAACCATTGTACCGATCAGGGCTGTTATCAAATATGCAAAGGAATGGAACAATGAACAGTATTCATGGGTTTGAATGTAAACTAAAATTATAATTGAAGCAAAGCTAAAGATGGGGTAGATAGAGAGAATGAATCATTTCATTCTTTGAAATTTTATCTTGTTGCATTTTCAAAGTCCAACAACTTAAAAAATGACCTGTTGAGGAAATTGATTTTCAGAAAAACAAGTTCTTTTACTAGTTTAGGGTTGTCAGAATGCTATGTTAAATGCTATTTACATGCTTATTTTCCAAAAATTTAATTTAATTAAGAAATTTGGCAGGCATGAAATTGAAAAAGTGAATATTTACATGCTTTCATTTCTAATCCTTTGGTGTTTGCTAGTTTTCAAAGCCTACTGATGGCAGAGTGAATAAGTATGCTGAATGTTATGTGTTTTACAGTTTTCCCAATGTGTAACATAAATAAAAATTTATTTCTTTTTAAAAAAAGTCCTTCACAAAAGCAGCCTCCATTGTGTACTCTGCCATGTTCAGACTGACAAACAAGCAATTGCTCAAAATACTTTTTTTACATTGCTAGGAAAGATTGTATTACATATGAAAATTATGTTTTGTTTTATCTAATGCTTTTACACATAAAAATCAGTAGCTATAAATTTATTTAAATAACTTCAATAAATTATTAACATAATCTAACACTCCCTACCATAGTGTCATCTGTTCATTTGAAAAGTGATACACATATCAAAAGTGATTCAATGAAAAAAATCAGGTTCAAAATAGATAGCCCTGTCAGGCTAAAAAGACTGATTAGTTGAAAATGTGGTTGCACAAGCAGTGATTTTAAAAACAGTTATTGAAAGGAAAGAATCCAAACTAAACTGATTACATCTGGCATTGAGGAAATATGCCAAAATGAAAAAGTGCACCAGATGTTATGCATTGGAAAAGTGCTGGGTATTTTTGATACTTTAGAAAAAGAGTTGAATTTTCCTAGATTATAAATGTTACACCCCCACAAATATGCTGTAATGTATTAGGAAAATATTATTGGATGTGTATTAAGCTTAATTTTATTATTTCATTTTGTGGAAGTATGAAAGAGCTTTTAATTGTAGCAGAACAATTTTGCTAGTTTAATGTTGCAATAAAGTTACATTGTATTCATCCTGAGAAATACGTTTGCATGCAAAATATACAGCGATATATTATATTATGTTTTAAAATTTCAGAAAATTTGCTCCAAGATGTTGTGTTTGTAAACAACCAATAATGCCTGAGCATGGTAAAGAAGAAACAGTTAGAGTTGTAGCTCTAGATCGTAGTTTCCATGTCCAATGTTATAGATGTGAAGTAAGTGTTATAAGTAATTATCACAAAACAAAGGAAGTATTGAAAATGCAATTATCATCATAAAAAGTATTTGAAAACTATGTAATGTACAATTATAAATTTATTCAATTAAATTTAACTGTAATAATGAAGGATTTCATTTTTCTAATAAGCCATATAATTAGTTCCTTTTTCTTTGAGGGATAATTTAAGTATGATTTTTCTTAATAATAGGATGATTCCCATTTTAACAATGGGAATTTTCCAATTAAGAAATCAGAAATAAGAAACTTCAATATTGATAGTTGTATGATTTTCCATGAATTAAATGCATTTGTATATTTAAAAATGTATTTTGGGCCATTTCAGAACTGTAAATATATATTCATTTTCTTTTAGGAGAATAAAACAGTTTTCATGAAGTGTAAGGAACTGCATTTAATAGTTAAAACATTAGCTCTTAATGCTAGAAAACGTTTAAAAAAAATAGTGTCTGTAGTATAAGTAGAAGGTATAGATGTATAATTAAAGAAATTGCACTTCACCTTAAGAATTTTCTTAAATGAGTTAATTTTGTACCTTCTCTGAAATTATACCATCTTGCATGATAGTGTTTTAGATCTTCTATATCTTTAATTAAAAATTTTCAAAACTATAAAAATGTTGCAATATTTTACGAGGTATTATAAATTGTGGTTAAAATATTTACACTTGAATGTTCTGTAGTTTCAGTATCTAACTTCTGCTTACAGCCATGATAAAATTAAGGCATGCATCACTGTGTAATAGGGTGATCTAGCTATGAAAGTTCTGAGATATTCCATCTTAATTTCATATTACAATCGAGATAAAAATAAATGTCCAGCAGTTAAAGCTCTTCTAGAGCTTTTTTTAAAAAATGTAATTGATCTACTTTAAGTACATTTTGCAACAACAGTGCCACTTTACACATATGTTGGACATTCCATATAGAATTGGATGCAATGAATATATTAATTGCAGGTCTGGATTACAGCTTTTATACCAGTTCAGTTAAGAAATGTTATATTTTAAACATACACTGTTATCAAAGAGAAACTTTTTAATCTCCCCATTTATGTATGAAGATATTCCCTTATGTCGTCTTCTTCAGTGGCTCGACATCTCTGGCCTTCTCCAGGCATCTCTACTTTTGTCAACTTTTTTCCAGTTTTTAACCTTTAAGATATTAAGATCTTTTTTGACACAATCAATCCATCTTAGCAGGGGTCTGCCCTGAGGTCTATTTTCTATGGGCTTTGCCAGAAAGATTTTCTTGCAGCAACCATCTTCATTCATTGTAGCCAGATGGCCAGCCATTTAAGTGTCTGTAATTTGATGCATTTTATAATATCATGTTGTTTGTAAATTTTATAGAATATTCCCTTATGTAGTCAGATTTATTGTTATGTGCAGTACAATGTCTGATATACGGAATTGTCAAGATTTCTCAGATTCCAAATGTTAAAAACTTATGGATTTTAAATCACCAGTTTAAATCTATTAAGATGACATGTAGACAGGGCAACATTGAGACTTCACTTATTATTTAGGTCAAATGGAAAAATGCTGACCCTCCCAATCACTTAAAGACTGAAGAAGATGGTTGAGTCTTGAGCAGTGATGATGACCCACATAATGATTATAAATGAATATAGGATCGTTACAAACTTGAAAGTGCCCATTTCAGTAACAGACTAGAGTCAAATTGTATTCTTATTTATGCTAATATACATGTACACTTATCAAACCTGATTAATGAGTTCACTGAGTGAAGGTATTACTCGCATGAAATGGCCACTATATTTGCCTGAACTTAGCCCCCCTTGAAAATGTATTTAATGCTTGTGTATCCCTTCCAACTACTCAAAGAGAGCTGAAGACTGCTCTGTTTATTATAAGCATGACCATTTTTGAACTCTTGCACACTTGATTCCTTAAAAACATGGAATTTCATTGCAGAGCTTGTATGAAAATCTAGTGGTATTAGTGCAGCTTTATTTGTTTGCATAACTTTAAAAAAAAATTAATGTACAAAATATACTTACATACAAATAATTTTTGATGAAAACCAATGTAGGTTGAATAAATATGCACATAAAATGTTAAATAAATTTATTTAATATTAAACATTTGCAAACCTTTTTTTTTTTTTTTTTTTTTTTTTTTTTTTTTTTTTTTTTTAGGATTGTGGTTTGCGGTTATCATCAGAAGCAGAGGGTAGTTGCTATCCTTTAGATGACCACATATTGTGTCGTAGTTGTAATGCAAAAAGAGTGCAGGCTTTAACTTCCTGCATGACTACCGAACTGTAGTCAATAATAATTTTCCCTGCATTCCTTGTTTGAAGTTTGTAAAAGAATAAGTTATGTCAGAAGGATGTCATCCATGTTTCTTAACTTCAGATAACTTAAAAAGAATGTTTTATGCTCTATTTTGATACATGTCTTTTTTTATTTTAGCATATATATTTTACACTGAACATTATCTAGTCTGTATTTTTCTGTTATATTAGTGTATTTTCTCTGATCTTTCCTTGTATTCAAAACTCATGTGCAAATGTAGTGTATATTGTGTATTGATGACGTATTTGCCTTTTTGTAACATTTATAGTTAAAGTTATAAATAATTGAAAAGTTTTCAGAATTTTCAAAAGAAATTTATATTTCTGAATTGCGAGGAACATCAAAATTTAGAAATTCATTTAAGAAAATGTATATTAGGAAATTTTCACCGAATAGTGTCACTGAAATACTAAAATTCACTGAAATTTCATTCAGTATATTCAGTTTGTTAGTACATTGTATCAAAACACTGTTGTGTTGCTTCTTTGTAACCTTTTGGATATTTAGTAATTTATGTAGTTCTGTGTATGAATAGCTGTATTAATAATTTTCTCTTAACCGAGAAATGAAAATTAGTGAATTGTTTTCTTTCTCACTTTGTTTAAATTCAGGGAACAATTTCTTTTGTTTTTCAATTATGTAAATATAATTTGTATAAAAATTTACAGCATTTATTTTGATTATTATAATTGAATATTTTAAGTGACTTTAGATATGTAGGATTTGTTAATTTTTTTTTTGTATATTTAATTTTTTAATCAAAATCTTTTTAGTTAAGTAGACTACTAATTTAATAACGGAAATTAATTTTCTAAGAAAAACTAAACTGTATTTATGGCTACTCATAGAGACTTATAATGAAGTACCAGCATTTCACAATACTTTGTTAACAAATCGGTGGTTACTATATAACTACGTAAATGATTTTTTTATTTTCAAATATATTATTGATTTGAAGTTACATTAAATACAATAGTGGAGGTAGAAAAAGGAGTGGAAATTGAATTCAGTGCGATGCCATTATGTATCTTTATTATCCATTTAATAGGAATTTGCATTTCGTTATTAAATATGACACACATTTGGATAATCATATGCTTTATTTGATATGTAAGGTATTTATGTTGTAAGTAAATTATTTGCCAGATATTTTCACTTATTTGAACTTGAAATTGATTTTAAGGCAGCTAGCTTCCTAATGATGATTGAGCTTAGATATACAGAATCCAAATAATATTTGTGTTCTTGTTACAAAAACATGGGCAACCAATTGAAAATTGGTGTCCTAGACTAACTGGTATTTTTCCACTCATGATTTTTACAATTTAATTGTCCATAGCTAATAAATATATTTATGTTAATGGAGCTCTGATACTATTTTGTTATTAATTTATTAAAATATCTTTTAAAGAATGGCTTCCTAGTTATTTATGGCAGATGTGGTAAAAATTGTTATTGAGCCTGAATTATGCTTAAGTATTGGAATTCTGAATACAAATCTGCATTTATGGCCCTTTTTTTAATAGTAGTAATGATAATAGTATATTCATTTAGTGCTTAATCTTTTATTTATAACAATGTGATTTATAAATTAAGCACCAATTCAAATATTTTTATTATTTGAGTTATTAATTGGTATTTAATAAGGGAGCAAATTGTTAAATTTTATGTAAACTTGCAAAATTTATTATTTTAAGTATTTTAGAACACAGTATTTCAACTTTTTTGTGCGAATGTCAAAACTTTTTGCAAACAGCTGGCTTGTCAGATGTAGCTTCATCTTCCATAAAAAAATTATAATAAAAGTGAAACTATTAAAAATAGACAGTATAGTTATTTATTACAAATTTATATACTGATATTACTTTTCTGGGATATTTATTTTTCATTGTCAAAGCTAATATGAGGTGTGCAATTGCTTTTTCTTACATAAGCTGTAATTAGTTTCTGCTCATATTGTAATGTATGGAACGCTAGTTCTGATAACCAACATTCGATTTCATTTTCATGTTTTTTATCTTCATAAGTAATTGCTGTGAGTATCAAACAGTGAAGTTAAAGTAAAACTCATTTTGAGACTCTGGATACTAACCTGAAAAAGCATACTTTTAATAAAATATGAACAAAAGGTTATTAAATATCATTTCATTTTGGATCTCAACATCTTCTTCCTGCAACATATTTGAGAACATCATTGGAATCAGTTTCCAAATGGATCTGTGAGAACCTTACCTTGATTTGCCCTGAAATCTGTAAATTTTTGCCCATCTTGGTAACCTATTTTGTGATGAGGAAAGAGAGACTCATACTGTTCTCATAGTTTTTTATTACTAAGTTCTCTTTTTTTATGTTAAAGCTTTATTCACTTATTTTTTCTGATCTTGGAATATTCTTATAACCATGCCCATGGATCATATATTGCACAACTGTGTTAGAATTAAAATATTAGTGTTTTTGTGCTGCCAGAAAACCATTTAACAGCTGTGTAATCATTTCATGCTGTCAATTATTAAAACAGCTTTGTAATCGTGAAGAAAGGCGTTTTAATGGGGGTGTAAAAATTCAGAAGCGTAAAATGGCAGAAATTCAAAATGAAGATGTGTACAGAAAAATAAAATGAATAATTTAACATTGTTTATTAAAATTTGATTTAAAATTATTTTGGTTTTGTTAAAAATTACTTGATCAGAAAGTTTCAGCACATTTTAATAATTTAATTTATGATGCATTTAATCATGATTTTTAACATGCTGAATCATAAGCCTTGGAAAGTGTATGGTTCTTAGCCAGAGAAGAATATTATAAAGCACTTCTGGTTACTGTGAATTTTTCCCAAGTCCCCCCAGTTAATATTACTAATAAAAAATTGCAGATTTTTATATTTGTAGCTAAAGTTATTTAAAATCAGTTATAGCAATTTAATTTTATTAAAAATTTACAGTAATTTTCGTTTCCTCCCCTCTCTGGTGTCAGAATTGCATCTTATGGAGAGTTATATGCAATCCCAGATATTATAGGACATAAAAGTTATTTATTTCATTTGGATCATGCAAGTGGCATTTGGAACTAAAATGTTTATCCATTTTTCAATGTAAAATATAATTGTTGTAGACTGTCAAGAATGCATTTAACTGGTAGATATAATAGTAGTTGATTCCTGATCTATTCTGTTATTTTTATATGGAATTTTTACATACGTCCGTGAATGGAAAAACTGGAGATAATTGTGTAATAATCTAGTAAAACTCACTGTCATGGAGAAAACGTTTACTGCACTGTAAATATTGATAAATAATAGTAAAAATAATTCATGCTCTTTTTTTGTAATAGATATTATTGATCTTTTGTTTAGCAGTATAGTTCATTTTCTCATATGTAGGTATAAATCATAAATTAACAAACTCAGTTTTTTAGTAATTCTATGTTTTAAGTCTATAATATTTATCTTTTGGGAAAGTTTCCATCTTTAAAAATACATTTACATTTTTTACATAGTAAATTAAGTCAATATGAAGAAAGATTATGTTGTATAATAACATAATATAAATTGCCCTGTGATAGAGAGTTTATTACACATATGGCTTCTTTCTTGCAATTAAAATGCTGGTTAGATGGTGAATGCAATTTAACACTAACCTGTATTTTACATTTGATGGGAAATTTCTTGCAGCTTTTAGTAAATGAAATTAACTATAATAAATGACCATGAAATAGTTTTATTTTAGTTAAATGAAAAGTTATTATCAAAGTCTCAATTTTGAAAAATTCTGTATCAGTGCTCATTTTAAAATATATGTAGTTAATATAAATACTATCATGCGTGATAGTGGGTGTTGAATAAAGTATTTTTTCGTTTTAAAAACAAGTTATTTAATCTTTAGTTGTAAAATTTTATTGCATTTTGTTTTTTATCTACTTAAGTATATAAATAAATATATATATTAATATTCAAGAAATTATACCGCATATTTGTCATATACCTTTATTTTTTAAAGTTTATATTAAATAAGAAATTAATATTTTGTTATATATATTAAATTTTGCATTTTTCTGTGAGTAAAGTTTTCATGCATGGAACAATCAGAAATAAAATGAACGAGATAAAAGTGGAAACAAATAAGTGCTATATCGAAATTTTATTTAATATCAGATTCACATATATTTTATATGGCTTTTCTTTATTTGAAAAACGTCTAATCCTTTATAAATTGCTTTTGCCCTTTGTGCAGAAAATATAAAATCATAGATCCATTACAAAATGTCACTGGATAGTGAATGTTAAATTGTTAATTTTGGTAGAAATAATGTATATAACTTTGATGACCAATGAGTTACATAGTGTGATACTGCAGTTGGTTGTGAACTGTTTTATATGAAATGTTTATATCCTATATTTTAAAAATATTCATTTCCTACTTTTGGTTTGTTAATATATTTTTCAAAGAAATGCATATAAATATATTGTACATTTTTTGGGGGATAAAGCTGACCTAAGAGATTCTGTATGTTTTGTTATTAAACCATGCACGTAATATTTATGTAGTGAACTTTACAAAAAAGGAGCATTGTAAAAAACTATGCACATAGTTAGTTTTTAAATGGTGATTAAAATCAAGATAAAAAAGTGTACTATAATCAGTGAACTTTTCAAGAAAAAAGCACTGAACTTAAAAATAATTTTTGCTTATGGAAATATTATTTAAATCCATTTTCCATGACTTTGAGATTGTAGTTGATGCAGAAATAGATCAACTGGTTGTTTTGAGGCAGCTGGCTGTGCCAAAACCCAGGCTTAGTTTTCTTTGGTACATGTGATTTCTCTATTAAAGTGTTTAAATAATTAAAGTGTTTTTTATTTGTCTCATATGGATACACTATGTGTTACTGATCTCTGTGTGTAGTACAAGTTGAAAAGTTGACTGTTTGAAATATGCCAGTTATCATGCATTGAATGAATCTAAATTTTTAATTTTCAAAAATGATTTGAAGTTATATCTTTTTTTCTTTGAAAATTGATAAAAAGAATTGGATGATTTAGCATGTAAATGCATGAAATTACAAGCTTTATTTATGTGATAAAAAAGTGAAGTTAGCAGTACACATGAATTTGGACTGTATCATACAAAACAATGGTAGCCAACTTATTATAGGTACAGTTTAAAATATATATACTGCCACCACTGGGTTATATCTAATCACCATTTAGTAATAAATTTTACAATAATAACTGGATTAAATCTGAGTTAAAATAACATGTTGCAGATGAAGAAGGTTTAAATATAAGTTTTATCTTTAAATATTCAAAACTAGTCCTGGAATTTTATGAATATTATCTGATTCTTATCGCCTTAGAACCTGTAATAACTGGATTGTTTTGAAGTACAGCAACACTTCTATATTCACAGGTAATATGTTCCAAGACTTACGAATAATATCAGATACTCGGGATATTCATGTAACAAATAATTAAATGTTAAATTAATGCTGCAAGTCAGACATCAAGAACAATAAATAAAGCAGAAATAAATGCTCTGTTCACTATTATGTATTATATACTGCAACACAAAGTAACGTAAAATATATAACATATTAGAATTACAGTAAAGGATTCGTATATTTTTAACTTAAACTACAAAAGACAAATGAGAAACAAAGCTTCTTTTGTGCTATCTAGCATAAAAATTTTAAAGTATGGTAAAAAAAAAAAAAAAAAGCACTTTCCTAACACTATCAGTAGGACTGTTGTAATTCACTACTAATGACAATAAGGTGAATATTAATGTTGAATCCATATATAAAAAGAAATATATGTGCAGAGATGAAGACTAGTCAGATTTTCTACGTGCGAGTGCGAGCTCAGAGTTTGTAGAGATTTTCTGTAACATTATGCATTTTCCAAGTCCTGCAATAACAATTTCCATCAGTCATCCTTATCTAGATGAACTGAAGTTTGACTGAGCCGCATTTCACATTCATAAAAATCTTTCTGTTCTAGTTAACGATCCTAATTTCAATCCAAATTTGCCTTCGGCCTTTAAAGAAATTATGTTTTAGTTCTGGTTTCGCATTTCACGTTAATAAAAATCTTTCTGTTCTAGTTAACGATCCTAATTACAATTCAAATTTGCCTTCAGCCTTTAAAGAAATTATGTTTTAGTTCTGGTTTCACCAACAGATGGCGCCACTTGCTTATTCTTGTCTAGGCTTTCTTATTTTATCTAATCATTATTTCCTATCTTGTTCATTTGCGGTTTTGCAGCTGAGGATGCTGGTTCGGTAAAACCATCGAAACTAGTCCTGTGAAAATTTTGTAGCTATAATGCTGATTTTTTGTTGTTTGACTTCTGAATTAGTATTTATTCGGCGTGTTATTGTGTCTTAATCTACAAATCAATAAGTTCTCCAAAATCAATTTTCAGCTGTACCACTGTTAGAATCTGCAAAAAGGCTGTATGTCCATGTCCTGCATATTTGCACAATATTTATTATCAGATAATATACAGTCAATGAAAAGTTGGGAAGTTTCTGGACTATCCAACATAATGCTGCCATTCAGTGTAGTTTAAGATCTTTATTTTTTAAACAGTGCAAAAATACAAAAGCCTGCTGTATATAAGATAGAATGAATTACTTAAGCAGTGACTTCTCTTTCAGCAGCCAAATAATTTTCTTGTATTTTTCCTAAGAGAAATATCAACTAAAATGAATCTCTTATTATACCTCTTACCATTTTCATAAAGTAATTTTAAACAAAAAGTAATAACAGCTGTCGCAAAAGTAATTCATGAAAACAGTGATTTAAAATTATACCTCTCATCCAGCCATTTCATAGCATTAATGTAAAAATAATTTTCTGACTTAGATTGTTTCACATGATGTTCAATATACATAATGTGCACAAGTTTTTATCCGGCCTCTGTTTTCACAACCATTGGTCATAAACATATACTTCCAGTCATAAGAATGTTTAAAATGACACAAAGGAACAAGTTTTGACATTTTTAAATCTCAGAGAAATTAATTTTTTACATACTTCTGCAGAACACAGAATGCTGTACAACAAAATTTGACTAAGACATTTGATTTAGAAATTGGGAATCATGTTCAAGGGTTGTACGCAAATTGAAGAGTGAAATGTTTGCATTTGTACACGACTAAAAATACTGTTTAGAAAAAAAGTGTCTTGTGTTTACAGATTGAATGAGAAGCATATCTGTGCAAATTATTGTGAAAAATACTGACTAATATAATCCTTTAAAATGGAGAATCTTATAGAATTCGTGTTCTAGAAAACACTGGTAGATTTCCATACCAACATATAGCCAAATCGTAATTTGATCTGCATTAATTAAAAATGTTTGTACTTTAATGAATTTTTTGTGCAATTACCAGATTATTATAAAGATATTTTTAGATTATGAAAACTTCAAAATCATTTGAGTGAAAATTCTTTCGGCATACCCAACATAATGTTAAATTAAACGGAAAAAAAATCTACCCCAATTTTATTTATTAATCAACTGCTCAATGCAAATCATAAATGATGCCATAAATTGCCAATTTTGGAATTATATATCTTAGTTAATTTTGACTGTATGGCTATCAAATAGAATTGATGTATACAAAACATTAATTATGTACGTTTTGACTGATTCTAGGTACGATAATGCGAATGTAATAGTTCTTCTGCATGCTAAAATTTTTTTTACTTCCTTGTACAAAGTAAAGGAAGCATTGTAATCGCAAAAAATTTCGGGTTTGCGTGACATCTGTACATATGGCCAGAATAAAGGACACTTTTTTCCAAAACAGATTGTAAAATGAATTCACGACAGATTTTTTTGTGACATTTATACATAAGTAGGTATCTTACAAAACTCAAAAAAGAGTAACCTTACAAAGTTGAAATTTTGTGTATTAGATTCCTATAACATGTAGTTGTGCACCTCCCATTTTAGTTGCAGTCACCCGCACCAAACGTATATAAATATATATATATGCATATACCCAAGTTCTGTTTTTTTTTTTTTTTTTTTTTTTTTTTTTCTTTTTTTTTTATTAGTTGTAAATTGTGCATTTTTTCCTTTAAAAATGACTGAATTACGAGGGCCATCCAGGAAGTAGATTACGTTTCCGTCTGTGTCCGCTAGGGGCGGGGCTAGCGCGGCCATCTTGGGGTCAGAGCGTTGCGCAGCTCAGTCTGCATCTAGCCGTGCTAGTGAGAGGTTCGTGCTGTGCTCCGTTCAGATACTGTGACGGTTTGAAATGTCTGCGTTAACTGAAAATCCTGCGAGGTGCGCTCAGTAATAAGGTTTCTGACTGCAAAAAGCTGTAAACCGATAGAAATCTATCGGCAGCTTCGTGAAGTGTATGGGGACAACATTATCACTGAAGGTGGATGCGTCAGTGGGTCATAAGATTTCAAAATGGCTGAACCAATGTTCACGACGAAGATCGAAGTGGGAGACCCAGCATAGTGACCGCCGAACTTCTCGAAAAGTCGATGCTAAGTCCCGTGAAAATCGAAATTTCACAATAACGGAACTTTTTCTTTGAGTTTTTCCACAAATTTCGCGAAGTTTGTTGCACGAAATCATCAGTGAAAAGCTTGGTTACCACAAGTTTTGTGCAAGATGGAAGCAGAAGAGGTAACGAAGTGGTTGAAGGCGCAGGCGGCCGAATTTTTCGACGAAGGAATTTCCAAGCTCGTACATCGCTACGATAAATGCCTTAATTTGTATGGTGACTATGTAGAAAAGTAGTATTTGAGTGTGGCTTTCATCTGTATATAATAAAATTTGTTTCCTAGACTTTGTTTATTTTTTTATTCCAAAACGTAATCTACTTTCTGGATAGCCCTCGTATGTTGTTCTAATGTTCCGATTAAGGTTCTTATGCTTTTAGTTAATCAAGTGGGGCTAGGGCTAATGAAGTCACCAATTGTTTACATTAGAAACTCTTGCTGATTTAGAATTTCTCTTAGTAGAACAGTGAAGGTACACCAACATCAGCCGTCTTTTTTGACGAGTAGGACCAATTGCTTGTTTTTGTGTTTTTTCTGAATTGCTTATTTTTGTGTAGAAATCCTAATTTTAATTGTAAAAAAAAATTTTTTTTTAACTGTATTTGGTGTTTTATGTTTTTCTGGATTTTACAGTTCTTAATGAAGATGTTTTGAGCTTTTTATGTATTTTTGCCTTGCCGCAAAGTGAGAACAGAATTAACTGAATGAGAAATAAATACCTCCAATGAAATTCAAGGAAATAAGTTTAAATGAAATGCAGCAAGAAAATGTGTATAATTTAATAGTCTGTAAAAGGAAGTTATGTGGCGTTCCCATTGGATGTTTTATCTGATATATTTCAGTTGCATAAAATATTGAGAAAAATACACGATGAAGATACAGTCAAAAGTCGTTAATTCGGACACCCATAATCTGGACCTCAAAGCTACAAACTTTCTGCGCATGCGCGTAAGACCTTTACGGCTGCGAATATGCGTGTGCGCATGCGCAAAATACGTTTACGAATGCACGTTTAATGTATAACGGACAGTATAAGCTAAGCTAAAATTATCTAATTCAGTTAATGTTGCAGATTGCATTGTTCCTTAATCTTTGAATTGGATCCGGCTTATTATTTTTTGCAGACTGTTAGAGCAATTTTATAAAAGTAAGCTTGAACTTTCGATTATGTCAAATAGAATTTCTGATATATATTTACTAATATGTAAAGGATCTACATAGCAAAAGTATGTTTCCATTAAACAAAAAGTGGAATTGCTGCAAAAAATGGATAAAGGCATATCCTTTGTTTATCTAACCATTCCAAAATCTGTTTATCAATTTCACGCTGCTCTGCGGTGCGCAATGAATTGGAAGTTGATCTGTCAGCACTATCCTTATCTTCAGGGCAGATGTTTTTATTTTATTTGGCTTATAATTCCTTACTAACTGTAGTATTTCATCTCGATGTACTCCGTCTTTGATATGATTTAAATCAAATTCCTCGTCATTATAATTCGCTTCCGATAAAGAAGATAGTGACTCAGAGGTTATTGAAAACGAAAAAATTTGGATTGACAAATAAGTTGGTATTCTCGACACAGTAATTATAGGACTTGAACGGCGGGAACTTTGTAACTGAAGAAGAAATTATGTCTGTTTATAGAATTAAAGAGAAAGTATTATCATATAAAACGAAACAACTTACATTGAAAGAAATATTTAATAAAGTAAACAAATAAATATTAAGCTTTTTTTTTTTGTAAATTTTGATACCCTTTAGATCATATTGTTCTTTATTTCATAAATTACAATTTCATATTTTTAATTTTATAATTTCTGCATGCCATCTTACCAGATTTAAACTGATGATCTATAATCCGGAATCGCCAAAGTCCCGACGAGTCCGGATTAACGACTTTTGACTATATAATTTTACTCAACAATTTTTAAGGAATATGTAAAATTGTTTTGGCATTTAAATAGTAAAATAAATCATGATAACTTAAAAAATATAAAGACAGTGTATAGGCCTCTCCTCCTTGTCAACAAGCTATTTTTTTCCCACTCTTTAGCATCAAAACCGATACTTTCAACAGTCTATTCTTTTGTACATTAAATTTATATTGCTTAGCTTTTGCTTGTATTAGTAGATCATACATGTTTTTTGGCAACCAAAAAAACCAACTGGTTTGTTTCGTTAATTTGTAATCTTATACAGCCCGTAAGCCATTGGATAAATAGATAATATATGTACAGGAGAAAATATTAGATGAATAGTTCAGAATAAGGGATATCAGAATTATGAGCGATTATTGCGACTGCATACAAATAAACTTAAGACAACTGTGAGATGTCTATCATATTGAAGGTGCTTAGATTAAGTTTATCAGCTGGGAATGTGCAATGTAAGCGTTGGTCTGTTTTCTAAAAAGGCAATTTGCTCTCTAGAGTTTCTTCTTTCAAAATCATATAATGTTATATTAGCTTTGTTTAAACATGCACCACAACATGTTTCAAATTATCAGCTATCAATAATAATGGTAATTTTTTATTTTATGTCAGTATTAGGATAATTGCAGAATCGTGTTAATTAGAAAAAAAATGAAGTATATTTCTTGCATGAAGCCATATATGAAGGATTGTATGCAGAATATATGCATATGGTCATTTTTATAGTATAAATTAATATGCTTTTGCATTACTTTTTAAAGTAATTATAGATTAACATTATTTATTGTGGCAGTTATTGGATGATAATATTTTGTTATTTCATCAGGTCTATATAAATTCAAGCAGCAACATCTGAAAGTTGCTTTACAAGGGTCACTCTGACATTTTTGAGATATACATAGGTTTTTAAAGTTATACATAAGAAATTTTAGGGATGTCAAAGTAGTCTCCTCCAGCATCAAAACACTTCTGTAGGCGAATTTTCCAAAGGTTAAATGTCTCAAACAAATTCATTTCTTGGAATCGATGAAAAAAATGCATTTATAGCCTCATCAATCTTATTTTCGGAATGAAAACGACATCCACATAAGTTCTTTTTTAGATTAAAAAATAGACAAAAAGACAGGGACACTCTTGGAAGGGCAATTTCATCTCGCCATCAACCTCTGAGAACCATCTCAGAGTTCAAAACTGGCTTGCTGCAGCAATGGGAGATCAATTGCCA